GCATATTCATCCTATGTTTACCAGCTGCCAGCCCAACGACTACATACTACTGTGTTTGATGTGACAACATCTGTGTGCTATTGTTTATTAAACTGTCTTTAATAAAAATACTGCAAATGGATCCCTCTGTGTCAGCCACTTTGTTACAGTAATATAAACAAAAACGAACAGGCCTATTAAATACAAAGCCATAAGTACAAATTTTACAAGTTTAAACATCACTCTTAGGCTTATACTTCTTATTTACATTTTTTAGATATAACACTTTTTATCATATATTAATGTAAAACCCAAAACAAGGTGTTTTGATTAAGTCGTAAACATTGATTAAGGTTTATTTTGGATAATGAAAGCATTTTTAAAAAAGTACTTTAATCCAAAAAGATTGAACAAAAGGACATTCCTAAAATAAGTGAGCTACAACTTAAGTAGAAATTTTCCAAACAGAGCAAAGTACATCAATGTCACTTTTAAAACTTGTGCATAAACGTCCTGACAGGAAAGAAATATATATTTTATAATCATATAAATCATTTTATATGAAGGAGAAGCACTTTAGCAACGAGACCAACAACCTGTAAGTACATTTAGACTTGTTTTTAGTTGTTGTGTATGGTTTGAGGACTTGTTTTTTCAGCTGTTTGTGTAAGGTTGTAGGACATTTAAACTCGTTTTCAGTTGTGTATAGTACTAGAAAAGTTTACCCACTGTTTCCTTAGTTACTGTAAGAGCTTGTGTGTCGAACGCGGACGGCTTGGCGTCGTCCGCCGCAGTTTCGGGCGTTGTTTTACTCACGAGGCGTGTCCAGCTGAATTCAATCAGCTAGTGCTCTGGGGTGTATATAAGCAACTAGTCTCACCCCGGCAGCGGTCGCAGCAGCCTCGTGTGAAGACCGCCTTGTGTGAAGACCGACGAGTGTAAAGACCATCGACTCCACCGAGCAAAGACACCGACAAAGCACTTGAGTACTTTACTTTCTTATTTTACTTTATCTTTACATTTTTATTATTGTTTTTATTTATTCACAACTCTCTCTCTCTCCGTGGGCCTCTGGAATTGTCAATCAGCTGTTAACAAGGCAGATTTTATTACCTCCATTGCTACACATTCTGACAATCTCATGGCTCTAACTGAGACCTGTTTGAGGCCGGAGGACACTGCTACACATGCTACTCTTTCTGCTTATTTCTCTTTTTCCCACACTCCTCATCAGACAGGGAGAGGGGGTGGGACAGGACTACTGATTTCCAAAGAATGGAAATTCACTCAGAGACCGTCCCTGACAAAGATCTGCTCCTTTAAATTCCATGCAGTCACCATTATCCACCCCTTCTACATAAATGTGGTTGTCATCTACTGCCCACCGGGTACATTAGGTCACTTCTTAGATGAACTGGATGTTCTTCTCTCATCTTTTTCTAATTATGACATTCCCTTGTTGGTGCTAGGTGACTTCAACATTCACATTGAGAGACCAAAAGCTGCTGACTTTAAGACTCTGCTTGCCTCTTTTGACCTCAAAAGAGCACCTACTTCTGCTACTCACAAATCAGGTAATCAGCTAGATCTTATTTACACACGACATTGCTTCGCTGATCAAACACTAGTAATTCCACTACAAATATCGGGTCATTTCCTTCTGTCTTTCAACATCCACATTACTCCTGAGCCGCCACACACTCCAACACTGGTTACCTTTCGCAGAAACCTACGATCTCTCTCACCCAATAGACTATCCACCATTGTTTCAGACTCTCTTCCTCCATCTTGCAAACTCTCTGCACTTGATACGAACAGTGCCACTGATACACTCTGCTCCACACTAGCATCATGTCTAGACAGACTATGTCCTCTGACATCCAGGCCAGCCCGTGCCAGTCCTCCTGCACCCTGGCTCTCGGATGCTCTACGTGAGCATCGCTCAAAACTTCGGGCTGCAGAGAGAATTTGGCGGAAAACAAAAAATCCTGCACAGCTCTTAACATACCAAACTCTTCTGTCTTCTTTCTAGGCTGAAGTTACTTCTGCAAAGCAGACATATTTCCGTTAGAAAATCGACAATGCCACTAATCCTCGCCTACTTTTTAAAACATTTTCCTGCCTCCTCTATCCTCCTCCTCCACCTGCATCCTCCACACTTACTACTGATGACTTTGCTACATTCTTTTGCACCAAAACTGCAAAAATTAGTGCTCAATTTGCTGCACCTACAACAAACACGCAAGATACACCACCAACACCAAACACACTAACCTCTTTTTCCCAGCTCTCTGAGTCTGAGGTGTCCAAACTCGTGCTATCTAGCCATGCAACCACCTGTCCACTCGATCCCATTCCCTCTCATCTCTTGCAAGCCATCTCTCCTGCAGTCATACCAACACTGACTCACATAATTAACACATCTCTTGACTCTGGTTTATTCCCCACTTCATTTAAGCAGGCTAGGGTAACCCCACTGCAAAAGGAACCCAACCTGGACCAAACGCTACTTGAAAACTACAGACCGGTATCCCTGCTTCCATTCATGGCCAAGATTCTGGAGAAAGTAGTGTTCAATCAAGTCCTGGACTTTCTTAATCAAAACAACCACATGGACAACAAGCAATCCGGCTTTAAGAAAGGCCACTCAACTGAGACTGCCCTGCTCTCGGTCTTGGAGGATCTCAGACTGGCTAAAGCAGACTCAAAATCATCAGTCCTCATCTTGCTGGATTTGTCAGCTGCTTTTGACACTGTAAACCACCAGATCCTGCTATCTACGCTTGAGTCACTGGGCGTTGCGGGCACTGTTATACAATGGTTCAGATCTTACCTCTCTGACAGGTCATTCAGGGTGTCTTGGAGGGGAGAGGTGTCCAACCTACAGCATCTAAACACTGGGGTACCTCAGGGCTCTGTTCTTGGGCCACTTCTCTTCTCCATCTACACGACATCTCTAGGACCAGTCATCCAGAAACATGGATTTTCCTACCACTGCTATGCTGATGATACCCAGCTATACCTCTCTTTTCACCCTGATGATTCCTCGGTTCCAGCTCGCATCTCAGTCTGCCTGTCGGACATTTCACACTGGATGAAAGATCATCATCTTCAGCTTAACCTTGCGAAAACGGATATGCTTGTAGTTTCTGCCAACCCGACTCTACACCATAACTTTTCAATCCCGATGGATGGGGCAAACATTAATGCATCCAAAATGGTAAAAAGCCTTGGAGTAACGATTGATGACCAACTAAACTTCTCTGACCACATCTCTAGAACTGCTCGATTGTGCAGATTCGCACTCTATAACATCAGAATCATCTGACCCTTCTTATCTGAACATGCAGCTCAACTCCTTGTTCAAGCTCTTGTTCTCTCCAGACTGGATTACTGCAACTCTCTATTAGCCGGGCTCCCAGCTAACTCTATCAAGCCTCTTCAGCTGCTCCAGAACGCAGCAGCACAAGTGGTCTTTAATGAACCTAAAAGAGCACATGTCACTCCGCTACTCACCCGTTTGCACTGGCTGCCAGTTGCTGCTCGCATCAAATTAAAAGCTCTGATGTTTGCCTACAAAGTGACTTCTGGCTTTGCTCCTTATCTGCTCTCACTTCTGCAGATCTATGTGCCCTCCAGAAACGTGTGTTCTGTGAATGAACGTCGCCTCGTGATTCCATCCCAAATAGGGAAGAAATCACTTTCCCGAACACTCGCGTTTAATCTGCCCAGTTGGAGGAATGAACTCCCTAACTGCATCAGAACGGCAGAGTCACTCGCTGTCTTCAAGAAACGACTAAAAACTCAACTATTTAGTATCCACTTTACTTCATAATCTGCCATTGCCTCTGGATATACCACTAACTGTACTAAAAAAAAAAACAAAAAAAAAATTTACTAATGCTTTTCTTCTTAGACTTTACAGACCTGAAACTTGCCTATAGCACTTATTCATTGTTGCTCTATAGTTGTTTAAATAACTTCATTCTCCTCATTTGTAAGTCGGTTTGGATAAAAGCGTCTGCTAAATGACTAAATGTAAATTTAATAAAATAGTTCTTTAACTTAATATGTTAAGAAATCTTTAGAGTGTCTGGATCAATGATGATAACTATTTTATTTCAACTCTGTAAGACTTATTTGAGTTAATATTTAGGTTATTCACTAAAATGTGTTGTTTTTAATCATTTATGGAGCTGAATGCAGTAAATAGTCTGTATAAAAAAGTCGAAAATAAACTTGTGTAAACAATCTAGCCTTTATAACCAAATTATTTAACAAAACATGATTACTGCAGTAAAACATTTGTAGTCTTTTAATAAGCATGATGTGTACAGGATAGAGAGGGTATGAAAAGTGAATCGGAATTTGTCCAATAATAAACCTGAAACACACGTGGTTGTTGTCATGCGGTGAACTCGGCCAATTGTGTAATATTGGTGTCTTCATCTCAGCTCCAGCAGTCGCTCTTCAGATGCTGCACTGGCTAAATTAGTCATCTGATCTCGGGGCGCTGTTGCCGTACTTTGATGCCACATGTGACAGTCATGTCACGTCAGCACAGCATCAATCCGGACAAAATTTCTAACCAGCATGCACCGCTTTAAGACAGATTTCGATCAATCTGCATGAAGTCAAACGCACCTTCCATGTTTCTCTAGGAACTGCATCATAATACAAAAAAAAGTTGCAGCTTCCGGTTCATGTGGACTTTAAATCTTTTGCTAACTTTGACTAACTCAGATTTTTACAAATTATATATATATATATATATATATATATATATATATATATATATATATTTTTTTTTTTTTTTTTTTTTTTAGGTTTCATTATTAGTACTATTATCATCACGATGATGATTAACAACAAATAGAATAATATAAATCCTTTATCAAACCAGTGTGCAGACTGTTTAGATGCAAGATTCAATGCACATTATATATAGTATATTATACTGTAATCCTGCAGCTGAAAACCACTGAATTATAGATAAAATAATATTTTTGTTTTGCACATACCTTTAGAGGGAGATCTGCAGTAGATCATAAAGCAGAGCAGAAGAGCAGATCCAGATGCAGAAACACAGAGAATCATCATTATTACTTGTACAGCAGAGAAACCTGAGAAACAGACAACAATTAATGAACACAGAAACAAAGCAATATGTAACAATCACAGTACAGTACATTAAAAAAAATAAGTGCTTAGCTAAAATAGCCATAATTTTCAAGTGTCAGAAATTCTGGATTAATGTGGATTCTAGGCAGAACCATTGCAAAGCTTATGTGTTTTAATTAGAGCACAGTGATAGTTCAGGCCATGAAGGCATTAGGCCGCTATCAACATATGATCAGCAGACAATCCACTCCAACCACTGTCATTCTATTAGACTCTGTAAAGATATATATGTGACATACAACTCGATACGATCAAAGTTCTCACAAAACTCCCCCTCATCTATAACTTTAATATACTTGTGGACCTTCTGGCTGTTGTGTTCTCTCTTTCAAGATTACTAAGCATACTGCCGAGAGAAAGACATTCTTCAAAGCAAGCTACACCATATCCATCCTTGGATTTACCACCATTTCTTGTTGATATAAGACCTTATCTTCTATTAACCTTCCGTGAAGCTCTAATAGCCATGAAGTGAGAAACCCCAAAGGAATCATACTGCCAAAGTCAAATTTGTGAATAAATACCTCTTATCTTGCCTGTTTAATTTATTCTGTAAGTATATGTATATGTAGGTCTGCTTAAACACAAAAGAGCAGCAAAATATAATGATGAATTCAAAGGAAGAGCAGGAAGTGTTTGATGAGTCATTAAAAATGTAAAAGAGAACGTTCGAGGTTACAGAAGTAACCCTTCGTTTCCCGAGGAGGGGAACGGAAGTGCGATAGGTGGATTTAATCTAGAAAATCCACGTATGGGAGATTCGGGCCAATGAAAGCCAATGAAAGCCAATGAATTGGCAGCGTAAGCTTGCGCAGGTGTGCTTCATTGCCAATTATCCCAGCATATAAGCACACCTGGAGTGAGCAAACACCATCCTTTTAAGATGAAGAGACTTTCTAACAGCTAAGGGACAGTCTTATGGCGATGGAATATAGCACTTCCATTCTTCTCCTCGGGGAATGAAGGGTTACTTCTGTAACTTCGAACGTTCCCCTTCAGGTGGGGAACTCCAGGGCTATAGGTGGATTTGATCTAGAAAATCCACGTATGGGAGAACTATGGAAAACGCCATAATGACTGCACCTTACCAACGCCTCCGATGAGGGGATAGTCAAGCAAGCGTGACACACCCACATCATGGGAGGCGTGGTCCTCGCATAGCAGGCACCTATACCCAAGACGCGGGCTGACCAGCGGGCAGACCAACAACGTAGTGGGCCAGCAAGTGACTCAGTCAGTGCTGGGGGCCACGGAGGAATCTGCAGGGCTCACCTGACGGGGAACTTTACTGACAGATAAAAAGGCGCACGTATCTCCGTGTTCTCAGGGAGAATGGCGTAGCAAGCGTGTTTCAACACCCTACAGAATTGTTTCCTCAATCACCAAGGGTTACCTAATACCCTTGAGGAAACCGGCTCCACTCGCAGATTGTAAAACCTTGCAAATGTGTTGGGTGTCGCCCAGCCCGCAGCTCTACAGATGTCTGTTAGAGAGGCACCGTGTGCGCGCGCCCAAGTGGATGCGATGCTCCGAGTGGAGTGCGCACGCACTCTCGGGGGATGCGGCTCACCTCGGCTCTGAAGCGAGAGAATGGCATCCACAATCCAGTGGGAAATCTTAATTTCGATACGGCACTTCTCTGCTGCCGACCCCCATAACAGACGAAGAGCTGCTCAGATGATCTAAACTCTGAGTGCGGTCCGGATAATACGCAAGGCGCGAACTGGACAATAAAGAAAGGGCTGGGTCTGCCTCCTCCGGGGGCAGCGCTTGCAGGCTCACTATCTGGTATTAAAACGGAGAGAGAGCGAGAAACACTGCCAACAGGTCCAGGCGATATGCCAATTCAACTGGGTACCTTTCCACAGGTCCGCAGCCGCATGCCCGCAATGCACAGCCCCCCAGCCTGTGTTGGAAGCGTCTGTTAAAACGACAACAAGACTGGACGCCTGTTCTAGAGACACCCAGGCCTGTAGGAACGAGGGGTCACTCTAAGAGCTGAGTGCACGGTGACACAGCGCAGTAACAGATACTCGGTGTGCACGCGCGTGCCATGCCCGTGCCATGCGCGTCTGGGGACTCTATATGAGACCACTTCAGCACTGGCTTTACGATCGAGTAATCCGAGCGGCGTGAAGCAGCTGCGGATGCCATATGCCCCAGGAACCCCTGAAATAGTTTCAGTAGGACCACTATTTTACTGTCGAGCTCTCTCAGACAGTACAGCATCAGCTGAGCGCGCTCTCTGGAGTGGCGCACTGCCATGGTGACCGAGTCCAGCTCCAGCCCGAGAGAATAGATCCTCTGCACGGGGGCGAGTTTGCTCTTTTCTCGGTTGACCTGAAACCCCAACAGGTGGAAGTGCCGGAGCACTTTGTCTCTGTGCATAATCAATTTCTCCGAGAGTGGGCAAAAATCAGCCAGTCAATTGAGATAATTGAGTATGCAGATGCCCGCGAGCCGAAGGGGTGCTAAGGCACCCTCCGCGGGCTTTGTGAGGACCCGTGGAGACAGAGAGAGCCCGAAGAGGAGGACTTTGTATTGCCAAGCTCAACCTTCAATGCAAACCGCAGAACTGACGGTGGCGGGGAAGAGTGGAGACATGGAAATATGCGTCCTTCAGGTCTAATGTTGAAGGACAAACGCACCAGAGGATGCGCTTCTACTTGAGCATTCTGAACGTCAGCTTGGCAGACAGCGGTTCAAAATGCGCAGATCTAGGATTGGCTGTGACCCACCGCTCTTTTGGGCACGATGAAGTGTGGGCTGTAAAACCCGCTCTCCATCTCGGCTGGAGGGAGCGGCTCGATTGCATCCTTCGCCAGGAGGACAACAATCTCCTCTCGCTCTCTTGCTAACCAGGCAGGCAGAGCTCTCGCTAATGGACTCATCGCTACAATCGCTGACGTACCAGCAGTGGGGCAGCTTGGAGTGGGTGTGCTGATCCGGGAAGCGCGCTGGTCCCACAGAAGAGCTGGGGGTGAGAGATTTGCTCTCATTCCGCACAAAAGCTCCGCAGGGGAGGCTCGAGGGGTGGGAGAAAGAAGACTGTCCTCCCAGCACTCGTGAGCCACTGGCGAAACGCACCGAACCTGCAAGCTAGAAAGCATAGCATCCCAGACTGGCAGATTTCGGGCTGTCACATCTGGGGAAGTAGAAAAGTGCTCTTTCATTGATGTTTTCATGGCAGAAAAAAGTGCCGTTGGAAATGGGTCTCTGATCTCCAGCGGGGAAAGAGCAAGTTCCCTCTTTTCCAGATGGCCTGTCCCAGGGACACATCTCGGTCTGTTGCCGGACTTAGCGCTGTTCTGGGTAGGGGGGCTGCCTGCTTCCGAGGTGCTCGACGCGCTCGCTTCGCCAGAGGTGTGTGCTGGGGCGGTGCAGCTCTCGTAGGCGGGTGCCTTCGGCGAGGAGCAGGTATGGATGGCACGGCGGGCGGAGCGGGCTTACGGACCCGCCGATAGGACATCACCCATCAGACTGCTCTCTCACCACCTCGAATTCCTGGGTGAATTCACAGACGGTGCCGCCGAACAGGCCAGCTTGGGATATGGGGGAGTCAAGAAAGCGGACTTTGTCGACTTCGCGCATATCAGCCAGGGGTCATATTTTAGCCAGGGGGGCGCTCCTGGACCACTAGTGTGGACATCGTCCTCCCCAACGCACACGCAGCGGACTTAGTGGTCCGAAGAGCATTGTCAGATGCGTGCGAAGCTCATAAGCCTGGGTTGGACCCACCCTCGTGCAGCTCGGCCAGCGCCTGCGCTTGGAAGCGCTGGTAGGTGGCTCTCGCATGCAAGGCGGAAGGCCCGCAGCCTTGTAAGCTCTAGCTCAGAGGGAGGCAGATATCTTTATAGGCTTTGGATGGGAGACGCGGCGGACCACGCCAAGAAGAGGCGCCACGCGGACAAAGACTGACCGCAATCGCGCGCTCAACCTGTTCTCTGTGTGTTTCACGGCCTTGTTTCAGTGACTTCAAAAATTTAGTTTTTCACTAACCACGCATAAACGTTTCTTTTTCAAAAACACAAACACATACAAACATGCTGCTTAGGTATTATTGTAGCCCAACTTGTACTGTTTACAATGTTATCACACTTTAGCCATTAATATATTTTTAAGATACTGAAAACAACACAAATGTCAGTGCATGTCAAAACTTCTCCAGAGCCCCAAAACACCCTCAGACCCCAGAGGGTTAACATGCTGGACCCCCCAGGCATGCAACGCAGTGCCCGTGCCCATCAGCCGAGGACAGGAAACCGCTGCATCCAGAAATGCACAGTCAGAGCGCCGTCCTGAAAAGGACGTGCTGCATGACTGTGTTGCTCTCTTTGTGAAGTTGCAACTTTATAAGCACCGCTCTGGAGGACCGGACCCAAAGAACGCCTGGCAAGGGAGAAACCCAGCTCGACCGTCTGCCGCTGTGTGTACACATTCTGGACCGGGAGAATGCTCTCGTTTGCTTGCAATCGCTGGATCACAGCAGGAGGAACCCTCATCGCCTCGATCAGAAAGTCTCTGAAGCGAAAAGGTTGGCGTTTGCTCGCTCCAGGTGTGGTTATATGAGTGGGATAATTGGCCATGAAGCACACCTGCGCAAGCTTACGCTGCCAATTCATTGCATTCATTGGCCCGTTCAATACTCTTTCAGACAAGAGGCTTCTGAACCGAATCCTTCCATACGTGGATTTTCTAGATCAAATCCACCTATATCACTGAAGTTCCCCACCTGAAGGGGAACTGAAATCAGTGGGTTAGTTATTAGTGAATGTGAAAATGCCCATCTTTGTCAGTATTCACATGAACATAAATAACTACAGAATTGAACCATACAGTGGCTCCAATACCATGAACCAAACTGAACCATGAAACTGATGTATGGCTACACCCTACTCCTAATGATTCCATTTACACTGAATGATATGTTTATTTCTTTGTCCATTACTCACCCAGTCTCTCCAGCTCTACAGTAGCATTGGCTGAAGCTCCTCCAGCAAACACCTGACACATGTAAACTTCTTTATCCTCAGTTCGGACACTCTTCAGTCTGAGAGAGAAGTTTCCTTTGGGGATTTCAGCAGTGAAGAACTCAACTCTGCCTCTGAATTGCTCATGAGATGAATCTGGTAAAGTCTCATTGTTTTGGAAGAGAAGAACCAAGATATCTCCATCTTTATGTATTTTGCTCCAAGAAACTTTAATGTGTTCAGGTGTGATGTGAGAGTCTACAGAGCAGTTCAGAGTCACGTCCTCACCAGCATATGCAGAGATGGACGCATCTGATCCTGACACCAGCAAACGCTCTGAAAGAAAACACACCAAAATATAAGTCAAAAATATTTCCATAAAACTCTAGATTATTTTTCTACCAGACCTTATTAAGCCTGAACTCACCAACATCTTTTATCTGAGCCACAGTTTGTCCAGAATCCTGCTGACTGTGAACTCTACACCTGTATTCTCCTTCATCTTGAGCTGTCAGATTGTCCAGACGGAGGGAGAAGTTTCCATGTTGAATCTTCTCAGTAAAGAAATGAGCTCTATCATGATAATCCTGCTGCTGGACCTCTGCTCGACTCTCACCATCTTGATACAGATGAACCAGAGTCTCTGAGTCTGCTCTTCTCCATTCCACCTCCAGATCCTCCACTGGTAAAGCTTTATCAACATAACAGGGCAAAACCACTGAAGATCCCAGAGGAGCAGACAGAGGAGCAGAGGGACCACGAACAGTGAAGCCTGAAACACATTTCAGAAAGAAGTTAAATAAATCTTGTTTTATAGTTTCTCACACAGCTTTCTGGTCATAATGGAGATTCATTGATGAGAATAACATTTAGAAATGACATTAGTTAAAATGCTCATACAGCAATTTTTCCTCATACTTATTACATCTTTTTTTAAATATTCCCTTTGAATTTTTGGAATGAAATCTTTTAAAAAATATTATGCAGATGCAATTTATATTCATCAACTTTATTTATTTTTTTTACCAAAAATTTCACCAAAAAAGATTAAATAATAAAATAATGAAAAACATAAATAACAAGACCAGTTTTAAATTTAAATGTGATAGTCTTACTCTTACTCACACAGAATTAGAGTAGAATTACTTAGCTAGAGTTCAACTAAAGAAAATAAATCATTACACACCGTCAGATTTAATTGGAATAAGAAATATGAACAAAAGTAGGGACATTTTCATAATAAATTATGATCATGCTCGTTCGTCAAAGTTATGTAATCAAGAGACAAACAGAAACCTGCGGAACTCCTAAACCAGAAAAAAATGTGATTCTTAGGTAAAGAGATAAACACATACATGTCTCTGTGTATGGGGATTATGTATGGAGATATAAAATAATATAACAAATAATGGAGATTTATAGCATAACATTTAGAAATTATTTTTCTAAGCATTTTTCTCATACAGCATTAAAGAATACATTAAAGACCATGATAGTTGCATTTGAGTATGGATGTATATTTATTGTCAATGCAATATTTTACTTTGTAGATATGTTACTTAAAGGCAGTTTTTTCTTATTGTACTTCACAGGCAAGCTTTAAGATAAGGAACCTTTTGAGTGTTGTAAACAGCTGGTCAAATCAGGTAACCAGGAAATATAGCTATGCTGAGAAAAATATCCATGCTTGCCAGACAATCCTTAATCTGACTAGAGCTGACAATAAAAACAAAACATCACAGAAATGATAAACAAATGTAAATAATCTTAGATTTGAGCTACTTTCTGGAAACTGGCTCTGCATATCTTTTTGAACATTTCCTTTTAATTGTGAAGATAGTATATGGGTGCAAAAAGATTAAAAGCAGATGCATTTCATATCTGTCAACATTTTGTTAACTAAAAACTTGTACAAGAATAATAACTACATTGATAAATAATGAAAGAATTATTAGTAGTATTTTATTTGATGATCTATAGTTAACTAAAGAGAATAAAACAGGCTACATACTGTCAGATTTAATTGAAATGACTGCCAGGAATATGAACAAAAGCAGGTACATTTTCCTAAAAAAATATGATCAAACTGGTTTGTCAAAGTTATATGTGAGAGAGAGCAAGAGACAAGTCGAAACCTGCAGAACTGCTAAACCAGAAAAACCATCTCTGAAAACAAGTCCAAAGTATACAGTTAAAGTAATCTGGAACTGTGTGATTCTTACCTGTAGGTAAAGAACTAAATACATAGATGTCTCTGTGTGATATTTTTACAGTCTATGGCCACAGTGGAGATTTGTTGAATAACATTTAAAAGTTACTTAATTTTTCCATACAGCATTTTTTTTTCTTACACTTCAGTTTCTTATACAGCATTAAATAATACTGATGCTTACAGAGACCATCATTATTGAAAAACAAGCATTTATGTAGATGCATTTATGTAGTTGATAGAAAAGGCCTTGGCTTGAATGTCTTTGTTTTCTCATTATTTAGTATGTTTTTGACACAAAGTTACTGAGTCGGAGTCTGATGATTGCTTTGTTTGTCCATGGATGAAAATCCAATGTCAATACTTGTTTTTAGTTAAAAAATGTGTCAGTTAAATGCGGTTTTTACTATTGCATTACACAGGCAAGCTTAAGATAGTGATAATGTTGTAAACAGCAGGTCAAATCAGGTAACCAGGAAATAAACACTGAGAAAACATATCCATGCATGACAGACTGACACACCTTAATCTGACTAGAGCTGACAGGAAAATAAAAGCTTAATTAATGTTAAATAAATGTTAATAATCTTAGATTTGAGCTTTTTTTTTTTTGAAAGAAGCTCTTCACATTTTTTAAACACTCCATTTCAATTGTCAAGAATAATTGTTCTAAGAATGTATACTATATTCAGATGCAATATATATCCGTCAACTTCATTTTTTTACCAGAAATTTGTACCAAAAAAGATTAAATAATAAAATAAAGAAAAACATAAATAACATCACCATATTTTAATTTAAATGTGATAGTCTATTACTCAGCTAGAGTTCAACTAAAGAAAATAAATCATTACACACTATAAGATTTAATTGGAATAAGAAATATGAACAAAAGCGAGTTTACATAATAAATTATAATCATACTCGTTCGTCAAAGTTATGTGAATAAGAGACAAACTGAAACCTGCAGAACTGCTAAACCAGAAAAATGTGATTCTTAGGTAAAGAGATGAACACAGATGTCTCTGTGTGGAACTTTTACACAGTCTATTGTCAATGGAGATTTATTGTTGAGAATAACATTTAGAAGTTACGTCAGCTCAATAGATATATTTATGTAGTTGATAAAAATGGCCTTGGCTTGAATGTCTTTTGTTTTCTCGTTTTTTTAGTACGTTTAGTATGCTCCATGATAGTTGAGTTTGGCCATGGATATATATTTAATTTCAGTGCAAATTTTTTTTAAGTTTACAAATGTGTCGGTTAAATCCAGTTGTTGCACTTTACAAGCAAGCTTCAATATAGTGATACTCTTCAATGTAAGCAGCAGGTCAAATCAGTTAACCAGGAAATATAGCTACACTGAGAAAAATATTCATGCATCACAGACACATCTAAATCTGACTAGAGCTGACATGAAAATTGAAGCATCACTCAACTGGTAATCAAATGTTAGATTCTATTCTTAGATTAGATCTTAGATTCTTTCTGGAAACCGGCTCTGCACAAAAAAAATGTTAAACATTCCTGTTGATTTTTAAGATTAAATTCATATAGCGTATGTACCAAAAAGTATATTAGCATACAGCAGGGGCGGGGGGGCGGGGGGGGGGGGGAATAAGAATTGAACACGTCATGTTTTTCCTGGAATAATATTTCCACCGGAGCTAATAACATAATTGAACTAGATTTTGGTAAAAACCCAAACAGTACAAAACATAAACATAAAACAAACAAACAAAAAAGGACAAGGAGACAGTGCTAAACTACTGAAATGTATTTAATACTTTGCATAAAAGGGTTTTTGGTGATGGCAGCTTAAAGACGCCTCTCGTGTGAAGAATGAAATCACAAGCATTGCTCAGGTGTGACATTTTCAGATTTCAACAGGGTAAAAATCTTGATGGTTCTGTGGGTCTCATCTATAAATTCTTTGTATTTTATTTCATATTGAAGTCAGGATTTGAGAGCTTTCTTGGCTGTGTTTTGGATCATCATCCTAATGTAGATTTTGGACGGAAACAGCTAATATTCATTTTCAATGAGGAAGGGCAGAGGGTTGCTAAATGACTACTAAGAACTACCTCCCATTCTTCATGTTCATTGCTTTTTTTTTATTACACATATAGGCCCACACGGAATATGAACGCGCAGATTTCTGCCGATTTTTAGCCTATCATTAATTCTGTTTATTTACTTGAGTAAATGTGTAAATCTGAGTTTATTAATTTTTATTCAGTAATTTAATACTTTTTATTTAATATATTAAGGTCTAAGTTATGATACTCCACTGGATATTCCCAAAATAGTTCCGCAGAAATCCGCAGATTTTAACCAAAATTCTCAACCGAAATAGCAAAAAACGTCCGCAGATTCCGTCTGGCCCTACACAACACTTAATTATTAAACTAATTAATTTTGTTTTGTTTATATTTATGTATTTCTTTGGTTGTTATCAATATCCAGTGACAATTTTAGGTCACCAGCACCTTTATAAATGTTTTCTGAGAAAGATGTTGATGTGTTCAATGTATATTGCAACTGTAGCAAAAAGGTGCAAAAAATATATAATAAATATAATTTTTAGACTTGTACAAAAAAATTAAGTACATTAATAAATAACGAATTATTATTATTAGTTTATTTGATAGCTTATACTTAAGCTAAAGAGAATAAAACAGAAGGCTACATGCTATCAGATTTAATTGAAATGACACCCAGAAATATTAAATGTTCTAAAAAAAAGTGCTAAATTTTTAACAGAAACTTTAAACTTTTTGCAGAAAAGATTAAATGCATAAATAATCAAATAACGAGACCAATTTAGAATTTAATATGGTAGTCTATTACCCAGCTAGAGTTAAACTGAAGAGAATAAAACATTACACACCGTCAGATTTAATTAAAACGACTGCCAGAACAAAAGCAAGTACATTTTCATAATAAGTTATGATCATATTCGTCAAAGTTATGTTTAAATGAAAGCAGAGACGAGCCGAAACCTGCAGAACTGCTAAACCAGAAACAGCACATCCATGAAAAAACTATGAAAACAAAACTAAAACATGTTAAATTAACTCTGATACTGCGCGGTTCTTAATTGGAAAACTGAACATTTTAATCCCAGTGTCTTTGCATTAAGATTAAGTATTTTTATATATATACAGCCTGGTCATAATGGAGATTTGTTGTTCTAAAATGGTGTAGTCAGACCTCAGGTATATACTGTAAGGTGGAACCAATTCAACAAACACTAGTACAACACTTAGAAGTTGCTTCAGTTTTTCAGCTATTTTAGTCATTTTAGGCAAGTAACAATCGACTGTTTAATGATTACAGACACAAGCAAATGGCGACGAAATGTAAAAAGATCAGTGTAGTCTTCTCTGACATAAATAGGAGAATATTTAATACTGTACCATCAGCGACCATCAGAAGTACTGACATCAGAAAACAATTCGGAGGACGCATCTTGAAATACGCAAAATGAAACATAATAGCATTTATTTAAAATGTATTTTAGCTATAGATTAGCAAAAACGAGCTGTTTCATTGAGCTCAGACATGTTCTTCACATGTCCGCAGATTACTTTCACTTTGTATTATTTCCTTTCATTTTTAAATTTTGAAAACTCGTCTGGTCAGGTGATTATGCTTCATTAATGTAATTGATCGAACAAATAGGTAATACTATTAAAATAATTGTGGCCTTTTCATTAAATCATGATTTATAAAATACATTAACAGCTTAAGCTGTAATGTATATTGATTTTAAAGTAATGAAGTAGGCTAGCCTAGGCTATTTTCTGTTTACACATTTAGATCACTTGATATACTAGATACTTTTATGAAAACCACATCAATTATATGAAAAATTAAAATAAATAAAGATTCAAAAAATTAATAATCAATAAATTATATCTTCAAAAGTAAAATAAATAAATCAATAAGCAAAAGCAAAATAATAATAATTGCTGGAATTCAATATAAAAGATGTGCGGTTTTTCTCTGATTTTATTTTTAGTTTTTTCTGTCCAATTAATTTTTTTCTCCCTTCAAGTTTGTTTTACCGTCAAAACCCTTGTTTCTTACCATTTTACAATTTAGCTCATTTTATAATCATTTTAAGCAAATCTCATGCGCACTGATAGCGGCACCTAGTGGTTGAGATTGGCACGTGAAAATAATTAGCCGGCCATTCATACATAAAAAGTAATCTCTTCAACTTAGGCAATTCCACTACAAGAAAACAATTAGTGTATATTACCAATAAATACTTAAAAGCTTAAAGAATGTAATGTATCACGTAAAAAGTCATTTTCATATTTTATTTTTTACAACTCAAATTGTGTTAAAGCAGTTTTGCCGAACAAGTGTGTTTTGATATCTTGTGCAGTCTGCAGAGGAAGCCTGAAAAAAATCCATCCTTCCATCACTGATTTTTTTGTGTTTTCTTTGAATCAAGCAGATCTTCATCCTGATATTCAGCATTCAGATTGGTCAGTTCTTGTGATCCCGTTGTGTTTTGCTTTTGAGTGTCTTTAGATTTCACCCTTTTCTGCATTGAGTGGAAAAAGATGCGATTAAAACTATATATTGATGTAGCACCCTCTTGCCTTTGAATAATGATGTAATAAAACAAAAAATATAGTGCTAATGCAGTGAATATTCTCTCAAATCAATGCAGTTTTATAAATAATACATACCTGAAAAAACTGCAGACACTTCACAACACCTAATACATTAGAAAAGAGAGAGGAAATAGCCCAAATTAGTGGACTTGATAAATCCAATCTTTCTTGGCTTGTGGATCATACTTTAAAAGTTACATCCATAATAAACTGAGCAGAATCATTGTTAATTTAGCAAGAACTACTGCAGCAATTTGAAATATTATGGCTTTCTTTTTTCTTCATCGATGTTAAGCTACTTTGACACAATATGCATTGTAAAAAGAGCTATGGGAGTGATAACGAACTGAACAGAATTTTGTTATATAATTAAAAAACGTGTTAATCTTCAATTACTTCAGCTACATTTAATATTAATAACCTACACTGCTATAAATTTTGACAGCTGGGGTGCTGGGAAAAAATGTAAAATAACGGCCGTTAAATTACAGAAATTTCCTTAAATTTAAATTTCGGTAATTTAATATCCGTACGGTAAATTTCTGTAATTGTACATTTTTTTTTCCAGCACCCCAGCTGCCGAAAAAAATGGTAAAATTACGGATTTTTTCAGTTTCAATGAATATAGTCAGCTATATTCTTGGGAATCTGTCAGTCACCCAAAACCTCTCGAAAGAAGGCTTGGGGTCTTGAGAACCCAGGCATTTTAGCAGTCATATCTGCCCACATGGTTAATTTGGGTCCTTGGTCTCACCCTGCACCAGACTACTGTCAAAGTCTTGCAGTGGTTGAAGACCAGTTTTTGTTTGGGGTATATGAGCAATCAGTTTTAAGAATTCACAGTTCTGTTTGGTAATGTCATGAAGTCTCTTTCCAATATCATGTCATTTATCAAAGACATTGAATCATAAATGCCCACTAGTCCTTTGGCTTTTTCATATCTCTTTTAATCTCCATAAACAAATTGTGCTTCAGAGGTGGTGGCAAAGTCAACATTAGATTTCATTCATTTTTCTTCAGCTTAGTCCTTTTATTTATCCGGGGTTACCACAGCAGAATGAACCGCCAACTTATCCAGCATATGTTTTATGCAGCGGATGCTCATCTAGCTGCAACCCACCACTGGGAAGCATCCATACACATTCACATTCATAAAAATCAGCCAATTTAGTTTATTCAATTCACCTGTACTGCATGTCTTTTGACTGTGGGGGAAACCGGAGAAATCCAAGGGAAACCCACACAAACACGAGGAGAACATTCAAACTCCACACAGAACTGCCAACTGACCCAGTCAGGACTCGAACCAGCAACCTTCTCACTGTGAGGCGACGTTGCTAACCACTGAGAAATCATGTTGCCCATTAGAATTGAATTAAATTCAATTTATTTTAACGTACCTGAAATTCTAGTAAATTAAAACCACTTCAGCCCAGTTTTCACAGTTATAGTTCAGTTCTGTGTAATGTCAATGCTATTGCCGAAACACTGAAGAGGAAATCAGTATTGTGAAACTGGTATCAACTGTACCTCTTAAAGGCTGCGTGCACGGCCAGAGCAATGAGCATTTGTGTACTGCTGGGCCAACTTTGCTGCCGCAAGTCCTGAGCTCGGTTTGTGTTCTTTCACCTAAATCCTGTCATTATATGGCATAACTCTCAGCAAGTGCTCCATTATGATCTGCTCAACCAATCTCCTCCTTTGTATGTTGGTCAGGTTGTACCCAGCACTAATATTGACGCCACAGGCAGACTCGCAGACTCGCCGTCAGGCAGAGTATCAGCCCTGAACCATTTATGGTACTGTAGGTCTCTGCAGAGATGTGATATTTCTGAAGCAGGGCATCCTTTAGATAATCATGGTCATCTGTGTGATCCTCATTCATTGTGAGGTCCAGTCGACAGCTCCACTCCTTTCTCAGCTACTGACACATTTGGCCAGATGTTCAGATCACTGCAGGTAGCTTTCAATGTCATACCCTGGCTTTAGGGCGGGCACCGGCATCTCCAGGTAATGTTTCTGTAGTGCTCATGGGTCGGTTGAATGCATCGATGGTGGTCATAGGGTGGAAAAACTCCCCTGTGGATACTCTAGGTGGAACTGGTATAGGGAGCTCCATCCGCAGAATCCCTGCCTCTTTGTGTGTGGCTAGGGTTGGTTTTACTGTTTGCTGAATCGTCTCATGGAATTCCTTCAGCTCGCGAAGATATTACTCCTCGCTTGTTTGCTGTGCCTTGAGAAAATCCCTCTTTAGGCTCACCATGTCCCAATTGGACAGTGTGGGAGGCTCACTGGTCTGTCCTGGGCTTAACTGCAGATCTTGTAACTACAAAATTCTATGCTAAGTGACAGATTGCTCTGCCACAGCACGTTTCCTCACATGGTAAACTGACACCGAATTGGAGTCTGGCTTTTCCTTTAATGTGCCAGACTTTTCACCGTAGACCACAGGATTTCCTAACTGGTAAGTTAATTTACCATTCTTAAAAAAAAAAACACCATAAAGGCATATTTTAACTTCAAATAACCCACACTCCTCAACACTTGTTAAACACTAGCAACATTGGGTTCGCTCCTCTCCCACGGTTCTCGGCCCCTGCCCACACTCCTCAACGCTTCCAAGCCAACTAATCACAGAGTTCACGCGCGTCAGGTTCAGCATCATCCATGGCAAAGACTATGTAACTGTATCTGGGTGTTACTTGACGCAGAAATATAAATCAGGCTTTACCATGTGTGTCTGTGTGTATGTGTAAATGTGAGTGCAGAGATGTGGGTAGAAGCTTCACTTCTTCACATAAGAGCACGATTCTTTTATACTCACTAGACGGAAATAATCCAGAAATCAGCAGAGATATGGCAAAGACGCATTCAGAAGGGAAGACAATGAATCGCAGATCTTCCAGCATACGATCACCATTCACTGACAAAAATGGAAGACACATTAACTTTATTATATATTTACTTTATTATATTATTTACTTTGTTATCGTCAACGACTTGATTAAATAATGCAATTGTGATAAATTCAGCACAAAATAGCTTGACAAATTTGAGTGGGTGACTTTTACCTCTGTTTCACAATTTTTTTCTACATTTAATCACAGATAATTAACATTGTTAAATTAATACGCTTGACATTTTCTCAAGCTAAGTGTAGAAAATATTGTATGTATTAAAGAGCATGATGTCCACTCACCTGTTTTCAGTATGAGTTCAGTCATCAGAGTAACAGAGTTCAATAAAACAATACCAACTGATCCAAACACATAGACAGCAACAACACGATGGAAAACTGTAATGCAAGATTAGAGATTTATTAATAAGTTCCAACAACAATGCAAACTTACTGTATCATTTATTCTTAGACCAGCAATAGATTATCTGTCTATATTTAATATTCAGAAACAAATACGCAACACAGAAAACAGCCAAAGAGATACTCAAACACTATTTTTTCAACATATAGAAAGTTATTTTGTTTGAATTAATTAAGGACACTGTTTTAAATAAGTACTGTAAGTAAGTAATGTGTATTTATATAGCGCATTTATCGTGTATTGCCACACACCCAATCATCATGAGGGGGATCTCTCCACTCCACCACCAGTGTGCAGCATCCACTTGGACAACGGCGCCAGCTATAGGTGGATAATTATAATTCGGTGGATTGGGATTATTGGAAGGCCATGATCGTAAGGGCCAATGGAGGAAATTTGGCCAGGACACTGGGGTTATACCCCTACTCTTTACAAGAAGAGCCATGAGATTTTTTTTTAGAAACCACAGAGAATCAGGACCTCAGTTTAACGTCTCACCCGAAAAACGGCGCCCACTGACAGTTTTGGTGTTTCCTTCACTTTTACTGGGGCATTGGGACTCACAAAGACCACAGGTTAAGCACCCCCCTGCTGGCCTCACTAACGCCACTTCCAACAGCAACCTCGTTTTCCCATGTGGTCTCCCATCCAGATACTGACAAGGCTCAGTCTTGCTTAGCTTCAGCGAGTAACATGTCTTGGGTGATATGGCTGTGGCACTGTTTTAGAGATGCCTTATAGCACAATCTGAAGCTTTTTAAAGTTTCCATGAATAATTATTTTCCAGTTTATTTCAAAGCTGCTTTGAGGCAGTGTGTTTTGTAAAGCGCTACACAAATAAAAGTGACTTAAGTGGATCGTTTTAATGTTTTATTTCTTATAACAAATCGTATTTAGTCTGCATGGTGTATGCAATGACTAATTTCAGTTTTTTTTTGTCTACAGCTTAAAATATCATGTTTATCAATAATATATATATTTTTTGTAATGCTATTATGCAAACTAATCATGAAGTCTATATAATATGATGTGACCCTGCACCACACAACCAGTCTTTTGTGCATGTGTATATTTTAATAGGCAAAAATACATTGTATGTGTCAAAATCCCAGAATTTATGAAAAAAAATCATTTGAATATTAAAAAGTCATTGTTAAATGTCCTAGTTGAAATATATTAGGACATAACTTTTGTTTTTTAACTTTAAAGGAAATCTTTTCAACATTTAGATTTATTTGGACCCTTAGATTCCAGATATTTAATTAGTTGCATCTCAGCCAAATATTGTCCTATCCTGACAAAGACATACAACTATAAAAACATGTTTATTCAGATTTTAGATTATGTAAAATCTCTGTTAAAAATCACCCCCAAAATGACACAGCATGACTGGTTTTGTAGTCCAGGGTCACATATTACTAATCCCACAATGTTTAATTTCATCAACCACTTTATGTATTTAACTTGTACTGATGCAGCTTAAACACACAGAAGCAGAAGCATCAAAGTAGATGATCAATACTTTACCATTGTCAAAATCAAGAAAATATACTGTAAACTTCATAATGGCCCAGAGGATTTGGAGAAACAGCATCACACAGGCCCATCCAATGGCATCTGTACATAAAAAAAGGTAAATAAAGCATCAGTTTAATAGATACAGTTACTCCTGACTGGACACTATAAGAGAAGTTAATACACTTCTCTATAAAACAACTTTGTAGGACAGTTTCTCAATCAGGGAACCGCTGAGCCCTAGTGGTTTCGTATTGAAATTGCATGCGCTCTGTATCATTAAAAAAATGTATAAATATAGATATAAAGAAGGTTGTTGAACCCCCAGACCATAAATAATAAGCCAGATCATTTTTTTTTTAATTAGCAAAGTTTTAATTTTTTTAAATAAAAAGAAATAAGAATTTAAGCCTACTTCAAGTCAGAAAATAATGTTCTGCTTGAAAATCTGTAAAAGTCTACAATATAAATGTAATAAATAAATGTTTATGATGCATGTAAATTTGATAGCCCCTAATTTCAAATGGAGTCATTTGAATAATATGCATCAAAACTAGTTTGCGTTCCATATACAGGGAGTAGGAGGAAGAGGTTTGTGATTAAAAAAAGTTTAGAACCACTGTTGGAAGATATCAGATAATATGATGCTATTCCAAACTAAAATGAAAATTTTCAGGCTACCTGTTTTATTTTCCAGTGTCAATATGTAAAGGCCGATCATTGCTGCATTAATCAGTAATATGAAGATTAACATCACAGTTCTCATGATTGATTCAGAACCTGAAATGAATGTAAAAAGGTTTTCATGAACAACACTTTTATAATGGCAGAAATATAAAAGCTGATCAGGAGTAAAACTGACTGAGTGACAAAAGAAAACAGAAAAACATCTGAACACAGATCATCATGATTCAAATCACTGAAGAATCAAATGATTTATATCTCCACGGGACTAAACTCTTGACAAATGTGCAAATGATGTGCTGTTTGTTTAAATGACTTGTATAAAATGAGTTGAAACAGCACTTTTATTTTTGGAGGGGGTGATTCAGACAACTTAATTGTTTTATGTTAAATCAACTTAAAAAAAAAAAAAAGTTTAATTCCTTCATGTTGACCCAACACAAATATATACAGTTGAAGTCAGAATTATTAGTCCCCCTTTGATTTTTTTTCCTTTTATAAATATTTCTTAAATTGTGTTTAACAGAGCAAGGAAAGTTTCACAGTATGTCTTATAAAGTTTTTTCTTGTGGAGAAAGTCTTTTGTTTTATTTTAGCTAGAATAAAAGCAGTTTTTAAAAAAAAATATCTCTTGAAAAATATCTATTCAAATATTATTCACTGTCATCATGGCAAAGATAAAATAAATCAGTTATTAGAAATGAGTTATTAAAACTATCATGTTTAGAAATGTGTTGAAAAAAATCTACTCTGTTAAACAGAAATTGAAGGAAAAAATAAACGAGGCTAATAATTCAGGGAGGCTAATAATTCTGACTTCAACTGTATGTATGTATGTATGTATTTATGTATGTATGTATGTATGTATGTATATTTTTTTGCATTTTACAGATCAATAATTAAATGGAAACAACAAGTTTCAGAAATGATCAAATACTTACAGTTGAGTCTATCATAGCATCTGAAAAACCATGTGTCGTTCGTCATCATCATTAATAGTGGTAAAATGACAACAATGATGAACGCTAAAAAACAGGAGAGAAAATAATGTTAGAAATCAACAGAATAACAGATCTGAGCTGAATGATTTAAGTTGTTTAATAAAGCAGTCTCTGTATTTAATACATGTTTAAATGTGTTGATCTGCACTACAAATAAAATGAACACAAACTGAAAACTTCATAAATTTTTATTTTTATTTTATGTCATGTTTTTTGGATGTTGTGCGAGTTATGTTTAGTCTCCTAGGTTTGGTATTATGTGATTGTGATTAATTGTGGGACCCCCTTGAAAATGAGATGAGGTTTATCCCAATGAATAAATATCAATATCAAATATGAACTCACCTCCACTGACAGATCCAAATGTGAAGAAGAGGAGGATGAATTGTAATGTAGGCAGAATTTCAAAGATCATATCGGCCACAATGTCAAGTGTGTTAATTATCTGTCCACATTTCTTTCCGATTTGTTTAGCTAAAACTGCATTAAAAATACTGTTTGATTACTTGATTTAAGTTTGAGTTCATATTATTCCAATGTTAAAGGCAAAGTCCCCTTTAAAAACTTTAAAAAAGGACCTATTATGTAAAAATATTTTTATAAGGAGTTTAAACACAGTTTCGTGTCAACAGCACAAATGTATTAATTTTATTTTTTATAATCACACTTGATAAAAACAGTCTGCAGAAACACTCTGATTGACATTCTCCCTTTGCATGTATAATAAAACGGGGAAAAGCCCCACCCACTAGTGATGATCTGTCCCTCATTAGCATAGAATGTTACACTCAGTTTTGGAATCTGCCACTATGCTGACACACAGGCATGTGTAGCTCCGCCCTCTTTTAAAAAGAGCACAATCTTATTTGAATTTAAAGCGACAGTCACCAAAACGCCACAAATAGGATCAAAGCCTAAAAGTTTTGAAGAGTTATCAAATTTCATTTGTTGAGATATTTTAGGAGATATATTACGTCCTGTAAAAAGGGCATACTATGTCGCCTTTAAAGCAGAAATTAACAAAGTTTTTTATTTTTATTTCATAGAAGCATTATATTATTAAGAGTACCAGCCTTTTCAAAAAAATAGCATGTATTAATCTAATAATACAATTCTACAAAAGGGTGCCCTTTATCAAAAATTTCACACAGTAATGGCCATATGTACCAAACAAGGTTTTTTTAACAACATATTTAGTGTAATATTCAGTTTTTAATCTTATAATTAAGCATTCAGTTAGTTGGCTTATAGGAATACTTACTGTAAACAATTTTGCAAAGGCAGCACAGAAAAACAACTGCAAACAGCACTATTATCATGTGTTTCTCAAACTCTGCATAGTTCACAAGTTTTTCAAAAGCTGTAGCAAAAAGAGCTGAAAGAAAGAAGATAAAAAATTAAACACTGGCAAAATCTGAGTACAAATCATAAGATAACACTCCTGCCACTTAACTTATGTTTATTTTAAGGTAAATCTTACATTGTACACTATACTGTACACTTACTATACATGTCTTATTATAGTCTAAATTACTTACAATACTATAATTTATAGTATAATATCTCTGTTACAGCCTGAGATAAATTTTTTATAAGTTTCTAATATTGTAATCTGTTCACTGCTGTTATGAAACATTAAACAATAAAATGGTAAAGACAATTGGTGTAGTTATTCGCCATTGTCGCCACTGGATTGCATAGCTTGGAACTTGTAGAGCTGCGCATCGATGGATTACTCTTCAGTGTTTGGACTCTCAGCAGTGAAAATTAAACCAAACTGAACTGTACTTAAAATCTGAAAACTGAACTGACACTGTTTCAATTTACCATACTCTTCTATGTGAAGCTGCTTTGACACAATCTACATTGTGCGCTATACAAATAAAGGTGAATTGAATTGAATTAACCATGTGAGTAGTAAATTGATGAAAGCTTTTAGTTTTGAAGCATTGCATTTGTGAATCTATGCTTTAGTAGAACAATTATATCAGTTATAAACAATTATATCAACAATTAAACGGTGGAATTATATCAGTATTTAAATCTTATGAATCAATAAAATGATTAAATGATTTAGTCCTGCAAACATAGATTTAACACTAAAAACATCCAGGATCTGTCATACTCGCATAAATCATCTATCATGTGCAGATGTTTAATTTGTATTTATTTGCCATGTTTTACGTAAAGTTCTGTTTCAGAATTTACAGTACATATTTTTTATACGTGAACGTGTTCATGATATTAGGACATGTCTAACATTTTTTTTACCTGTATAAATAACAATTGAGAGAGACACATATTCAGCAACATAACTGTATTTCAGAATCAATGTTTTAATGTTGCCTGTAACACAGAAAATGTTAGAATTACAATCACAAAATCATGCACAACATCTATATACTTCAGCACACACACACAAGAAATACAGGAATAAAAGTTTTAAATCATCTTTCTTTTGGTAAATCGCACAAAAAAGGACAATGTATGATGATTTGGACACTATAATTAATGTTCTGCTCTCCTCTAATAAAGTAACCATACCTGTGAAGTTACTGATAAATGGAGCAGCCCAGAGCAACAAAAGAGGCCTCAGAAAATAAAGAGCACAGCAAGAGACCGACTCATTCAGAGATCCTGAAACAAACAAACAAAAATACAGTTAAAGTCAGAATTAATAGCCACCTTGGATTTTTTTCTTCTTTTTTAAAAAATATTTCCCAAAATATGTTTAACAGAGCAAAGAAATTTTCTGATAATATTTTTTTCTTCTGGAGAAAGTCTTATTTGTTTTATTTTGGCTAGAATAAAAGCAGTTTTTAATTTTTTAAAACCATTTTAAGGTCAAAGTTATTAGCCCCTTAAAGCTAAATATTTTTTAATAGTCTACAGAACAAACCATCATTATAAATTAAGTAGCCTAATTACCCTAACCTGCCTAATTACCCTAATTAACCTAGTTAAGCCTTTAAATGTCACTTTAAGCTGTATAGAAGTGTCTTGAATAATATCTAGTCAAATATTATTGACTGTCATCATGACAAAGATAAAATAAATCAGTTATTAGAAACGAGTTATTAAAACTATTATGTTTAGAAATGTGTTACAAAAATCTTCTCTCTGTTAAACAGGAATTGTGGAAAAAATAAACAGGGGGGTTAATAATTCTGAATGCAACTGCATATTAAATATGATAATTCACTAAAATATTTCCTGATCTTTACCCAACTTGCCTTCGATGTAAAACCAAACCAGCCTGACTGTTACATAGTTTCTGGTCTTGTTTGAAACTGTCTGATTTTGGGGGGAAAGTTTTGTGTTTTTAGACCCAAACCCCTTAACAGCACTGTTTCTAATCCTGCCAGAATAAGTTCAATTCATTACAGGCTGATAGTGTAGCCTTTGCAACTTTACTGGCTAGATGACTTATTCTTATGAATTGGAAGTCAGCAGCTCTACCTTGTTTTCGGCAATGGGTTTATGATTTTTTACAAGCTCTTAGAATGGAAAAGATTCAGTTCGCAATAAAACAAAAACCACAATCGTTCCAGAAAGAGCCCTTTGGTCCTTTGGTCTGGAGAGTCTGGAGCCCTTTTCTACATTTTTTTAAAGAGACACCTATATATATATATGTATAGGTTCATTTATTATTTTTATTTTTTTTTGGCTTAGTCTCTTTACTAATCTGGGTCGCTACAACGGAAGGAACTGCCAACTTATCCAGCATATGTTTTACGCAGTGGATGCCCTTCCAGCTACAACCCTACACCTGGAAACATCCATACACTCTCATTCATACACACATGCTACGGCCAATTTAGCTTACCCAATTCACCTATACCACATGTTTTCTAACTTGTGGAGAAAATCAGAGCACCCAAAGGGGAGAACATACAAACTCCACACAGAAATGCCAACTGACCCAGCTGGGGCTCAAACCAGTGACCTTCTTTGCTGTGAGGCAATTATGCTACCCACTGCACCACCGTACTGCCCTAATTATTTCTGTATTTATTTTATTTTTATTTGTTATATTTTATTTTCCTTCTGTCTGTTGTTTATTATTTTTATTGTGTTATATCTTAGGTGTGTATAATTTTGTATATATATATATATATATATATATATATATATATATATATATATATATATATATATATATATATATATATATTGTAGCGAGGCATACCGGTGCCACGTCGTCATGGTCAAGGATTCACCCCAGCTGGACCGTCATCAGCACAGGATCGATCACAGCTGGACGTCATCAGGCAGAGAGACATATAAGCCCAACCTACGCCAGGAGAAGATGAGCTTCATTCACCAAATGACTCCCTGTGCTAATGCTTGTCTCTCTGTCTCTCCTCAGCAGGCTCCAGCTCGTGACGATCCTACACCCGACTACTCACTGTCCTTCACATATTTCCCGGAGCACCAGAGCACCTCACCTGGAAGAAGAGCACCCTTTTACACACCTTCACGTTGTAAATAAAGCACCCTCCGGGGAATTGTCTGTAAACTCATCCGAGTGTGTGGCTGTTTTCCCTCTGCCTCGCTACAACTGGTGGAGAATGCGCGCTTTTTCAGAGGGAAAAATATTCAGCACTTACCAGTAAGAAGAAGTAACTACTGAATTTTTTCTTTTTCTTCTGTTTACAGACAGGCATCTGCTCTCTCTCTCTCACACACGCTCTCTTGCTCGGCTGTCATCCTATCCTGAGTCATGTCGATCGAAGAGGTAGTACGCCATCTAGCGGAAATCTCAAGAAGACAACAAGTGATAACTGAACAGCTCACCGCCAGACAAGACCGAATGGAACAACAGCTCCGCCAAGCGGCCGGTTCCAGCCAGTTTCCTGAGGTGAGCGCTCACCGATTTATTACTAAACTCAGCGACCTGGACGATATTGATGCTTACCTACACACTTTTGAGGTAATCGCTGAAAGAGAGAAATGGCCGAAGGAAAGTTGGGCGAGGATGTTGGCACCATTTTTAACTGGAGAAGCTCAACGAGCTTATTTTGCATTGGAGACACCGAAAAATGAGGACTATAAAGCATTGAAGAAGGAGATACTCGCCAGAATGGGACTCTCCAACATAAGCGCAGCACAACAATTTTCTCAGTGGACATACGAGGAGAAACAACCGGTAAGGACCCAAGCAGCCAATTTATCTCGGTTGGGAAGGTTATGGTTGCTGGGAGGAGATCCTACCGCAGTCCAGGTCGCTGAGAAAGTGGTTATCGAAAAGATGATGAGGGCGCTACCCAGACGGCTCCGCACACTTACCAGCATGAGGAACCCCGACTCGCTGGCCGCTTTGGTGGAGGCGGTGGAGCTGGCAGAAGCTCACGTGGCCCGGGAGACTGGGGAGAGAGCGGCTCTGCCACCCCGGAGGGTAAATGCGCCATGGCGACCGGTGGAGGGCACAGCACGACCAGGCAGCAGACCGGCGGTCCCCAGCCCAGTCGACGAGCCGATGTCCACAGAGCCAACAACATTCTCGGCCCCGGCCTGGACGGCAGGGTGCGTGGTACATCGCAACGTCCCTCCCAAAGCTCCCACCCGAAAAGTATGCTTAGACGGGAAAACGCAGACGGCCACACTGGATACAGGAAGTGCAATAACACTGGTCCACCCAGACACGTTAAAATACCATCAAGAAGGGAAAGGTCGAATCCCGATTACATGCATACACGGTGACACCCGCCACGTACCCTCCCAAAGAGTCACCATAGCGACAAAGTCGGGAAGCTGGCGCATTGAAGTAGGAGTGGTTCCAAATCTTCCAGTACCCCTTCTTCTGGGCAGAGATTGGCCGGGGTTCGATGATCTCCTCACCCACCATCAGGCTCGATCGGCTCGTGCGAAGAAGAACAACAAGGGACGGGCTCAGCGGGACTGCCAACCAGCGTTGATGACCACCAAGAACGACAGAGGGGGTGAGTCATCATCGGCTAACCCGTACTATGAGCTATTTCAACAGATTACCGTAGGTGGCGATTTCGGAAGGACACAGCGTGAAGACGAAACGTTGAAACACTGCTGGCCACAAGTCAGGATCATAGACGGTAACGAACGGTTTCCCAGCCCTCACCCCCTCCCACATTTTGTCATACGAAATGGTCTGCTATACTGTGTCGCAGAGAGGCGGGGGAAAAAGAAGACCTTACTGGTCGTTCCAAGGACCAAGAGGGAGACTGTTCTGGAGTGGGCACATACTCACCCAAGGAGAGGACATTTAGGCGCTGGAAATACGATAAAAAAGGTCCGTGATCGATTCCACTGGCCCGGTCTGGACGGAGAGGTAAAAAAATATTGTCAGGCATACAACACATGCCAAAGAACGTCTCCCCGACGACCAACCCCCAGCCCTCTAATACCATCACGCATCAGGAATGTGCCCTTCACCCGCATCGGTATGTATGCGAGACCCCCCCCTCTCAACACTCTTCCTTTTTTCCGCAGAAATCCCAGGACCAGTACGACGCTAAGGGGGGGGGAATGTAGCGAGGCATACCGGTGCCACGTCGTCATGGTCAAGGATTCACCCCAGCTGGACCGTCATCAGCACAGGATCGATCACAGCTGGACGTCATCAGGCAGAGAGACATATAAGCCCAACCTACGCCAGGAGAAGATGAGCTTCATTCACCAAATGACTCCCTGTGCTAATGCTTGTCTCTCTGTCTCTCCTCAGCAGGCTCCAGCTCGTGACGATCCTACACCCGACTACTCACTGTCCTTCACATATTTCCCGGAGCACCAGAGCACCTCACCTGGAAGAAGAGCACCCTTTTACACACCTTCACGTTGTAAATAAAGCACCCTCCGGGGAATTGTCTGTAAACTCATCCGAGTGTGTGGCTGTTTTCCCTCTGCCTCGCTACAATATATATGGTACTTTTGCCTTATTATTTATATATTTATTTAGTGTGTAATTATGTAATAAAATATGTAATGTTTTGATGTCAGAGCTAATGTTGGAACTGTAAAAATATAATGACATGCTATAAATGTAAATATAACATATATCATATATCATAGCAAAGAAAGCATTTCAGATTATACCTTATCTTTGCATTTATTATTAAACATACACAACTTGTAATTATATTTTGTACACTCACCTTCAGAAATACCCCACAAGGCAAAAGCACAGGACATGATCATATTTGGACAGATGACCAAAAACATCTGAAGATGGAAATATGCATCTAGGGAAAACATTCAAAATATTAATATTTGAATACATTGTGTTGCACTATTAGTGGAACTTTAATCAGCTTCATTTTAAAGATCAGATTTAAAGATCAGGGAGTAAGCAAAAAAGATAGATAGGGTCCAAATGCAGTGTCAGACAGATTTTGCGAACCCCCTAAATTTTGCTTGACTACAAAAGTAGGAGGGGTGCTGTGCTGCAGAGAGAAGAAGAGAGAAACAGCTCCTGAAACACTGCTGTGGCAGTGGTGTAATGTAAATGCCGACTCTCACTGTAAAGACTTTCAGTGGTATAAAGATCTTCAGTGATATAATGAGTATCAGTAGTAAAATGCAGATATGGAAGTGCTGTAGCAGTGATCTATAACCAGTACAGTGGCAGCAGAGCTACTGCACAATGAGATGCTTTGCAGGTATTTATTTACTGGAGCCTATATATGGAGTAGCTCATCTTTGGTGTGTGCTGACTTACCAAGTATTCCAACTTCCAGGTTTGTTTTAGTTGAAAACACAGCATTTTGCTGACTGTAAACTGTACACGTGTATTCTCCCTTATCTTCAGCTGTCAGATTGTTCAGACGGAGGGAGAAGTTTCCATGTTGAATCTGCTCAGTAAAGAAATGAGCTCGGTTTTGCTCATCTTCATCCTGTTCTTCTGGTTGACTCTCACCATCCTGATACAGATGAACCAGAGTCTCTGAGTCTGATCTTCTCCATTCCACCCTCAGATCTGCTAAGTCTTTATTACAGTAACAAGGCAAAATGACTGAAGATCCCAGAGGTATAACCAGAGGACCAGAGGGAGTTTTTACCATGAACCCTAAAAAAGAAAATACACTTAAGTATTGTGAAATTAGTTCATGCAAATGAATGCATTTCTATGCTTGTTTATGATAGAAATCTACGCATGATCTTAAAATAATGCTTATGCCATCTTAAAAATGTATTTATTTTATTAAGTTATATTCAAATCGTCAGACTACAAAGAGCAATTATAAAGGACATTCATTCATTCATTTTCTTTTCGGCTCAGTCCCTTTATTAATCTGGGGTCGCCACAGTGGAATGAACTGCCAACTGCGCAGCGGATGCCCTTCCAGCTGCAACCCATTACTGGGAAACTTCCATACACACTCACTCACACACATACACTACACTACGGACAAATTAGCGTACCCAAGTCACCTATAGCGCATGTCTTTGGGAAACCGGAGCACTCAGAAAAAAACACACACCAACAGGAGAAGAACATGCAAACTCCACACAGAAATGCCAACTAACCCAGCTGAGGCTCGAACCAGTGATGCCCAATTATAAAGAACAAACAGTTGTTATTCCAAAAATGGGAGCAATAATTTTTATTCATTCATTTTCCTTCGATTTATCAGAGGTTGCCACAGCGGATTGAACTGAAAACTATTCCAGCATATGTTTTACGCAGCAGATGCCCTTCCGGCCGCAACCCGGTACATACACTCTCGCATTCACAGACACTCTTAAGCAGGTCGCACACCAGAAGCCTCGCTCGGCGCCGCGACACGCACATGACAGATTAAAGTATCGCACACCAGACGCGCACATTCGAATGATATTTAACATGAAACTAATCAGATGGTGCTCTGTGGCGCGGCTGAAAAATGAACTGCATCCTGAGTCTTGCGGCGCCGGTGTGTGTATCCTGATAGAAACCTATGTTTAGAATTCTAAAATGCATGGCGCTGCGTGGCGCTGCGCAGCGCGCCGCCGAGCGGCGCTTCTGGTGTTCGACCTGCTTTACACTACAGTCAATTTTCTTCATCCAGTTCACCTATAGTGCATGTGTTTGGACTGTGGGGGAAACTAGAGCACCAGGAGAATACCCACGCCAACACAGAGACAAGATGCAAACTCCACACAGAAACGCCAATTGGTCCAGCTGGGACTAGAACCAGCGACCTTCTTGCTCTGAGGTGACTAATCAAGGTGCCACCCCAAAACAAAAATTATTAAATAAAAATTATATTTTGAAAATGATATCAGAATTTAGTTCAGAGCCACAGAGACGTTGCTGTCTAGTGCACAATGCTTCATTCAACAATGCAACACTAGCTATGTTTCCATCCAAAAATGCGAATGTACTTTATGTGCAAAACTGGATTATCGCATAAAAGACGTGTGAATAAATCAGCGTTTCCATTCAACGAGTCAAAGCAAACAAAATCATCACTTTCTGATTACCTGGCGCCAAATATCAACAGTAAAAACTGAATTTGCTGCAGTAGGAGAATCTGTGTCAATCTTTTCTTCATCTAATAAATCACTTGCACATCAGAAGGCAATCCTGACATGCAGTGAACACGCGGTGACGTTTGAAGGCATCAGACGTGGAGCACAGATGCTCTTGATTCTGAGAGTCATTAATAATATAACACACTAATACTTAAAGAGTAAGGTGTTTTATAATGACCAAAACAACAGTTCAGATGTTTTACAGTGTGCTCAGCCTGATGGTTTGTCCATTCACCCACATTTTCATCATCACATGATCTCTTTTAACAAAATCACATGACCTTCAAACTGGAGATTGTGTGGCAAAACTTTATCAATCTCAATTTATGAACATCTTTTCGTATCAAATAAAAAGTTTATCCTACTCTGTTTTGCGCATGTTTCTTATGCACATTTTCAAAATTTATGCGCATCTTGACTTTTCCATCAACCGTTTTTTTATGTGCATATAAAAATAGGTGGATGGAAACATAGTTACTGTCAGCGCCAATAGTTTAGTGCGTCAACATATAGCACCGAGGTGCTCATGGCAACCAGAGTTCGATTCCCGGCTCAAGGTCCTTTTTTTTAGATTAGATTAGATTCAACTTTATTGTCATTACACACGTACAAGTACAATGCAACGAAATGCAGTTTAGGTCTAACCAGCATTGCAATAGCAGCAAGTGCAGGATACAGGAATAAGTTATAGTTCCAACTCTTCCCCCATCTCTGCTCCCCATACTTTACTGAAAGTAAATCTCCACTGTGCTATCACAATAAAAAGGTGAACAAACCCTAAAAAATATTATAAATGCAACACTGCAGTAGACCACTTTTATTCACAATTTGCGTTTGCATTTACATTTTCAAAATAATTCATTCTCTGTGATTTGTGATCCTGTTCCCTCATGAGGACCAATAAAACAAAAGTCCCCACAAGGTTAAAATGTACTAGTATTGCTGCTTGTGGAAACATTCCTATAAAGTGAACTCCTCACTTACCTGCAAGAGATGAAGAGTGATCATATTCTACAGAAAACAAGAAAAATAATAAAACTATGATAAAAGTGGACAATAGCAGGTTCAATTGTGTTTTCTCATTATATTATTTATTTTAACTATTTTCTTGTGAGTGTTTTTTCTTTTGGCAATATACAGTATCGCATTAATGGCAGATAAAGAGTTATTAACATTTAATTATCAATCAATTAGTTCAGCAATTACCCAACTTGCATTTGGAAATAATACACATTTGTTTTATTTTAAATCAAATCAAACAAGTTAACAGACTGAGCTGCTGCTTTTCATTTACATTACATCATTACTTACATTAATGATTGGAATCAAATTCATTTGGTCAAACAGTTATACAGTACTTCAAGCATTAACTTACCCAGCTCCAAAATAACTTTAGTTGAAAATACATGATTATGCTGACTGTGAACTCTACATCTGTATTCTCCAGCATCTTCAGTTCCAAGATTGTCCAGACGGAGGGAGAAGTTTCCATGTTGAATCTCCTCAGTAAAGAAATGAGCTCTATCATGATAATCCTGCTGCTGGACCTCTGCTCGACTCTCACCATCTTGATACAGATGAACCAGAGTCTCTGAGTCTGAATCTAAGTCTGCTCTTTTCCATTCCACTTTCAGATGCTTCACAGGTTTATCAACATAACAAGGCAAAACCACTGAAGATCCCAGAGAAACAAATGGTTGAATGATCCCTGAAAATCAAAAGGCATTTTATCCATAATGTGAGGGAAATTAAAGATTATTAAAGACTATTATTATTATTAACATCATCATCATCACTGTATGACTGTATGCATAACAGTCCATCAATTGCTATTGAATAAAACTCTGTTAAAAGTTTTAATTATTAGTTTTATTAAAGTAAAAACTTTAATATGTACATTAAAAACAATAAAAGCTTTGACTTCTCTTGTCAGTGTACTGCTAGTGATTGTTTAAAAGTTCATACAATTGTTTCAATTAACTAACACTGTTGAAGCCTTCAGTGAGTTAATGGGGTAGTTCAACCCTGGATGGGTTTGCACCAGCTGATCGTAAGTTCTTTCTTAAACTGGAACGTAAAGTCCACTCTAAGGAGCTTAGTAACAACTAGCTAGTTTGTAAGTAAACTTGTTCTTACTTCAGTTGCACCACATGTTCTTAAGGCAAACTGTAGTTAGTAGCTCGTAAGCTCTCCGTAAAGTAATACTTAGTCGCATTGATTGACATAATATCCAATAAAAAGCATTGCAAGTTTTAAACTGCTAGACAATTCTGCAACTAATGTGCCTATATATAACTGTCCTCTGAAAATTAAAAGACAAATTCTATTTCTATAATACATGATTACATTACAGTGAGTCACTATAAAGGATGACACACATAACCTGCATCTCGAGCTGTGAATGCCCGCTAAATACACATGAAGTTATCAAAACAATAAACTGGATTTTTTTTATATCCTGCACAAAAGAGATAAGAGCAGTGGATGAATGATGGATACAATAAACACAAAACACTCCTTGAAAGAAAGTTAAACTCTTCTTTCACAAACCGAAGAAAATGCAAGATTTGGGAGGAAATAAGGGCTGTGAGTAGAGGGAGATCATTCTTCATTATCATCATGAGCTCCTCAATGTAAACTAATCTCGCGGTCATCTCTTTTCTACCGTTATACATAGGGGGAGACTGCAGTAAAAATATTTAGTTGGAACGTAGCGTTACGTTTAAGCTCAGTGGTGCAACACAAAAATTTTAGTAGCAGAGTGTACGTTGTGACTTAGTGTCCCTTTAAATCACAACTATGCTGCGTTTTAATTTAGAAACTGCTGGTGCAACCAGCTCCTGGACCCCAAATCTAGCCATGCAGTAATTATCGTTTTGTTTTGTTTTTTGTCATTGAGGTGTAGCCATGACAAGAATGCAGAATAAATATGCTTCCACTGATGTATAGTTTGTCAGAATGGACAATATTTGGCCAAAATGCAACTATTTGAACAATATGTAATCTGAGAGTGCAAAAAAAAAAAAATCTAGTTACTGAGAAAGTCACCTGTAACGTTGGGCATTTTAGGTGATTAGCATACGTATTACTAAGATTTAAGTATTACTTTATGCCATTACAAAGTATATTAATGTAACATGACCTTTACCTAATTTTCTAATTTTTTTAGTAAAAAAAATCTATTATTTGATCATGCTATTGTCAAAAGTATACATATGCAACATAAAACCAGGGTCACAAATGCTCACAAGTTGTTCCAAATCTGTTCATTACCAAATTAAATAAGTAAAAAAAAAAATCTAAAAATGGACACTGTCAGCAGTTTGATAACTCCCATTCTTATGGTGTTCAACAGGACAAAGAAGCATACAGGTTTGGAACAGCATGATGGGTAAAAACAGTAGGTTTACCTACGGATGGAAGGAGTACTGGAAATTTATACTCAATTACAAGTAAAACAATTGTCAAACACGTAAGTAAATGTATATTTAACAATATTCTCCAAAAAGCACAAACACACCCCAAACATCCACTCTCTCTCTCTATTCATTGCTGTATTATGTAATAGGTAAAGTCTGGGTATTTTGAGCTAAAGCCTACAATTAAACTTTTGTTAATTAATAACATGCTAAAGTGAAGTGAAGCTACATTCTAATTTCCTTACAACAAATAAGAATATCTGTACCTTTAGTAGTAGATCTGCAGTAGATCATGAAGCAGAGCAAAAGAGCAGATCCAGATGCAGAAACACACAGAATCATCATTATTATGTGTAAAACTGAGAAACCTGAGAGAAACAAACACATTACTCAACATGAGAATTATCAGAAATATCTTTAACATCTTATTAAAAACCCTAATATATAAGCTTAGAGAGAGAGAGAGAGAGAGAGAGTTTGACTTTTAGAAATCCTTTAATTGGTTTTCAGCACAATTATTTAAAAAATTAGCACATTTATTCCAAAAATAATTCACAAAAACTTAATCAACAAAAACAAATTTCCAACTTCATTTCTAAATCATTGTGCAGACGGTTTATGTGCATCATATTCATTGCTCTGTTAGTGTAAGTAAATGTCTTTTTGCATTATTTGCACAGTTTGTGTTTTGTCTGGTGCACTTCACCGCTGTCATTTTACTCTGCACCCCCACCCTCTTGCTCGCCCCTGATGTGCAGGTAAAGTGAGTTTGCGATTGTAAACACAGCGCCCCCACTGTTCAAAACATGTAGCGTGACTCGTTTAACATTTCACCTGATCCTCTCTCAGCTCCTTCAGCAGCCGGTTGTATTCTCAGTGCTGTAGATCTACACAGATCCACGCTGCAGCAGATAAATAGATGACACTTTTTTATTGGTTATCTTTGTAATTGAGCATGTTATGTACTGATTCCATTAATATTGAGTGTTGTCTCTGAACAATGTTCACTTTCAGCAACATCTAAGCTCATTCGCTCTCTGTTAATATCACCATAAATGTTATTTAACCAAGTGGTTCTCAACCTTTTTTTTTTTTGCCTGAGACCCCCTTTGCCCCCGGAAAATATTGTAAGGCCCTCCTCAACATTTAATTAAATTAATGCTCATATAAGTTTGCAGTAGGTATGACAACAAAAGGCTGTTTTCAAACAAACGATATGTTTATTACTATAGCTAGGTATGTTTACGCACAAATAATAATAGCCTGATGTAAAATATAGAAGCAAAACATAAGAAGGTCATTTGTATGAGGTGCACCTCTCAGAATTGGGGATGAGTCGTCTGCAAATGTCTTTTTACTTCGGACCTCCTCAAGCATTCGATAGCAAGAACGTTGGCGCAGATAATGCACTGTGGCTAGGTCAGGCTCTATTTGCTTCGGGAAAATGGAATAAAACAGAGCTGAGGTAACTATCTTGGTATTTTCTGCATTTCGTGTTTCCAGTTTTGCTAGCGCTGCGACCCGAAATGTTCACCTGGGTTCAGCATGCTTGGGTCATTACTATTAGCTGCTGAAAGTGAATCAGTGAGTCTTTTTTATGGAGGAAGAATTACAAATTTGTGCATTATTTGTCAGCCAGGGGATAAAAAAAAAAAAAAAAAAAAAAAACAATGTGATCGCTTTCCTAACTCTCCACTGCTAAAAACATGTTTCAAGTATGAGGCAACACAGAGCTTGCTGAGGCCCCCTTGTGGGCTGGGACCCCCCTGTTGGGAACCGCTGACCTAACCAACTTCAAGATTGTAACGCCCACTAATTGTTTTGTAAGGTTTTGGAAGCTGAAGTTGCTGCTTTAGGGCTCTATTTTGACGGTCCATGCACAGAGCGCAAAACGCAGGGCGCAAACGCTTTCAGGGCGTGTCAGAATGCATTTTTGCTAATTTACGGACGGGAAAATGCGCTTTGCGCAGTGGCGCATGGGCTAAAAGGGTTGAGTTTATTTTCTTAGGTGTTTTGAGAATAAACCAATTAGAGTCTCATCTCCCATTCCCTTTAAGAGCCAGCTGCGTCACGCCAAGAGCGCATTCACTATTTACAGGACGCAAAGTAAATCTAAGTGGAAAAAATGAGCATTTCACAAGCAAACAGTTAACAGTTAACAGTTTTTTAACAGAAAACTGTTAAACAGAGCATCTACTGCGTGAGAATGAAAGATAATGGATCACTTTCACTTTCGCTCTTGGATAGGGAAACCTTTACGCACAGACATCAATTAGCCTATAAATAATTAATTTAGTTTGTTAAGCGCAAATATTCGTTTCAAAACTATTTCTAAACTCAGTCCTAATTTCCAGCAAATTAATAAATGAACAATAATAACGAAGTGTGGTCAAAATACTGAGTTATTTCCAAATACACCTGCCATGCCCCATATGGTCTAAAACCTGACAGGTGGGCAAATCTAAGCTTGTTTTTAATAAAACAAATATAAATATGGATATAATAAATAATACTGCTAATAATAATAACAACATTATACAAAAGCAAATTGTTATGAATGAATTGAAAAAGCCTCCCGAGATGAAGAAGACATAAAAGCAGTGATTTTTCATATTTATGTAGGCTAGAAAATAATATGTTTTGTAATATTTTAATCCTTTATATTTATATTCTATATCTATTCTTATTATATCCTATATATATTCTTAATATTTAAATTTTTTCATATATAAAAATATTTGCCTATTGCTCTCTTGTGCGTATTAAGCAGTGTGTAAGCGAGGCGCAACTCTGCGCCGGAGTTTAGACCGGGTTAGTTTTGGTCTAATGAAAAATCTATTATAGTTTCTCAAAATAGCAACGCACCAGCGGTCCGCCTCAGAACGCCTTCCTTTTTAGACCAGAACGCCTATGGGCGCACAAATGAGCACGAATGCATTTGCTATTTAAACAGCGTAGCGCAACGCCTCAAAATGACTCTTGCGCCAAGCTAAAACTAGCAAAAAACTACTGCGTCACACCTTGCGCCACACTGCGCCGGGTGTATGATAGGGCCCATAGTGTCAATGATGCATAAGATGATGCCTTCTAGCAATAAAAAGACAGAACACAGGACAAACCCAAATCCAAGTTTTTGGCCTAAGACCACCATTCTGAATGAATGTGGAGACCACAAGATTGCATCCAAATCTATTCATAACCATGTCTGGATACCTTGAAACTGCTGTAAACTACAACCTGTTTCTCTTTTTATCTTTTCAGGGAAATAAGTATTCTTAGTAAGAGTCATTTCTAGTGCAACATCTTCAAAGAAATAAGCTGTTATATTAAAACAACAATTAAATCTTTTCTCCATCTGGTTTGGAGCATGTCTGCATTACCATAGGTGCACTTGTGAACTTTTTGGGAAATATGAAAGTATCAATATTAATATTAGAGGCTAAAAATCAATACACACTGAACACCAAATATAGTTTGGTGATACAAACTTTGGCATTTTGTGATTTTATAGTGACTCACCCAGTCTCTTCAGTACCACAGTAACACTGGCTGATAAATCTCCAGCAAACACTTGACACATGTAAACTCCTTTATCCTCAGTTCTGACACTCTTCAGTCTGAGAGAGAAGTTTCCTTTGGGGATTTCAGCAGTGAAGAACTCAACTCTGCCTCTGAATTTGTCATGTGTCGCCTCTGATACAGTCTCATTGTTTTGATAAAGCAAAACTGGAAAATCTCCATCTTTATCTGTTTTCTTCCATGAAACCTCTTCAATGTATTCAGGTGTGATGTGAGAGTCTACAGAGCAGTTCAGAGTCACGTCCTCACCAGCATATGCAGAGATGGACTCATCTGAGCCTGACACCAGCAAACGCTCTGAAAGAAGAAAAACACCATGCAATATCACAGCAGGACACATGGAGTAAGTGCATAACATACATTAGAAAGTCAAAACTCACCAACATCTTTTATCTGAGCCACAGTTTCTCCAGAATCCTGCTGACTATGAACTCTACACCTGTATTCTCCTTCATCTTGAGCTGTCAGATTGTCCAGACGGAGGGAGAAGTTTCCATGTTGAATCTCCTCAGTAAAGAAATGAGCTCTATCATGATAATCCTGCTGCTGGACCTCTGCTCGACTCTCACCATCTTGATACAGATGAATCAGAGTCTCTGAGTCTGCTCTTCTCCATTCCACCTCCAGATCCTCCACTGGTAAAGCTTCATCAACATAACAGGGCAAAACCACTGAAGATCCCAGAGGAGCAGACAAAGGAGCAGAGGGACCACGAACAGTGAAGCCTGAAAACAAACACAACGCTGAATGAGATTAAGACTGTTTTTTTATTATTATGATGATTATTTTCTTGCTTATTTCTTTGGACTGTCATGTAGTGTAGTGAGACAAGACATTAGTACAAAGTATTTAAAATGATTCTGACAATCAAATGAAATACAAAAGCATTGATGCTAAAACTAATAACTCTTACAAAAGAGTCAGACTTCATTCATAAATATTGTTCATGTGCTGATGGCAAGTCTCCTTTCACTTTAATATAGATAAATTAAATTCATCTTTGTTTGTATAATGTGATTACAATGTAGATTCTGTCAAAGCAGCTTCACATAGAAGATTTGAGTGAATTGAAACTGTTCAGTTCAGTTTTCAGAGTAAAACAATGCTGCAAATCTAGTCTGATCATGTGATGAGGAAATAAAGCCTGAGTAAATAAATAACACTACAGCAAACAATAAAATCAAAGACCAAGACTGAATCAAAAGTAAAGTTACTACTAATGCAAGAAGTATAATCTTTATAATGCACCGGAGCAATAATGCTAAGTTATTAGTCTGTGAAATCTCTCTTACTAGAAACAAATATGTAAAATGAAAAAAATAAATCATAATAAAAGCTTTAATTTGTCATCATAATCATCCTTTTACTTTTTCCTTTTACCTCCTGCATGGGAGTCAGTTGCTCGACCAAGGCCTCTAGCGTCTGTCAAAAGAGCACCTTTAGAGGTCAGAGGAGTGAGGATTACCTGCACAGCACTTACTAGCTGGCCTCCGTTATACTCACGCCCCTAAACCTCACTCCCAACCGGGTCACGGCACCAATGTAACCCCGCCGCTCCTACACCACTCAACCCTCTCCGAGGTGGTATCGTACCGGCGACCTCCTGCTTGGGAGTCGGTTGCTCTACCACGGAGGCTATAGACCATGGCATCTAGCATATTTCACTAGACTATTTGTCACTTACTATTTACTATTAATACTATATATATATATATATATATATATATATAATTAGGTTTATACACTAAAGAAAAATGCATTATGGAGCAAATACATACAGTGGGTAGAGTTTAAAAATAAAATGATAGTCTTTACAGCAAAAAGTTTATAAGCTTCATAATTTAAGTCAAAGTGTCCAAAACTATAACTGATACTGATACTGTAAGTTTATATTGATTTAAAGAGGATGTACTGTATTTTAGGTGCCTTTAGAATTACATTGAATTAAGTGAGAAAAACAAAGTGCATACCATCAACCGGGATTACAGCGGCAAAAATAAACAAAAGCAGTTCCATGTTCAGACATTTTCATCTCTCTAGATCATCAAAACGTGCATGAAGAAAACACATTTAAACCGCCATACTGTATGTTTCATCCAGAAGTGACAGGCGAAGAAAGCTACAACTGCAGTTCATCCAGACAAACCAGTTCTGCTTAAAGGGAAAAACAATGTCTTGAAGAAATGGAGAGACAAAAATGCAACTGTAAATGAAGCGACCTGAAACTGCACTCGATTTTAGATAAATTGGAAACTGAGCAGTCATTTCACTCTAAAAGTTTTATAATAGTTTAAGGAGAATCTTTCCTTGGTGAGATTTGGTGCATACCTTTAGCCTGAGAAGAAATATGTATAAAAACATTTGTATACTTATATACAGTACATTCATGTATTGTTCACAATACATACTTATGCTTTTAATTGTGTTAGCTATAAATTCCTAATGTTTTATTGAATTAAAAACAAATCTGTTGGTAAGTAAATGAACAGGGTATTTTCATTTTAGGGAGAACATGAGTCTGATTCCAGCGACGTTCCAGGGACAGACGAGTCTTCGCTGAGGCCATCTTCCAGCCTTAACCACGGCGAATGAAGCTCTGCACAAGACTTTTGGCCAGCGGAGAAATTAAAATGGTCGTGCCCAACTGAGTCTGGTTCTCTCAAGGTTTTTTTTCTTCACTCCCATCAGGTGAAGTTTTTTTCCCTCTCCGCTGTCGCCACTGCCTCGCATGGTTCAGGATTGGTAGAGCTACGCATCGATGAATTTGCTCTTCAGTGTTTGAACTCTCAGTAATGATTAAATCACACTGAACTGAGCTAAACTGAACTGAACTGAACTTAAACACTAAAACCTGAACCACACTGTTCCAGTTACTATGACCATTTATGTGAAGCTGCTTTGACACAATCTACATTGTAAAAGCGCTATACAAATAAAGCTGAATTGAATTGAATTGAAACTATCCCTTTTGCATTAAAAGTGCTGTATACAGCATAGACTCAATAGTCAGGCTATTGAAATATATATATATATATATATATATATATATATATATATATATATATATATATATATATATATATATATATATATATATATATATATAATATCTCATCTCATTTTCATTCATCTACTTTTCTGGGGCCAAGCTGAAGGGTCCCTCTCCCCAAACACTTCATCCAGCTCCTCTAGCGCAATCCCGATTTGTTCCCAGGCCAGTCGAGAGACATAGTCCCTCCAGCGTGTCCTGTGTCTCCCTTGAGGCCTCCTCCCGGTTGGACATGCCTGGAACACCTCTTATCAAGGGGCATATTTAGTGCTCATAAAACTTTGGAAGTGTTACAGCAATCCCAACACACCAACAATATAAACGCTTAAAATCCACAAGCATGGTGACATTAGTGATGTTTTATTTATATTCACTAGTTTTAATAATATAAGTAACAGTATATTACCCAATGCTTTAATCTACATGGTAATGCCATAAATATATAGATAATGCTTTAAATATTCAGTCACATTCAATATGATGGAGTTATTCTTGCCATCATGAATAATACATGTACAGAGATGTTCAAACTTAAAGTCTGTGTGAAAGCAAAACTTACAATTTTTTTTTTTTTTGCTAGCGCACATTGCCATTGTTTAGATGAACAATTAATCCATGCAAGTTAACGCACTGGATTTTTTTGTTTGTTTTGTTAATCTTCAGTCAAAGACTGAGCATTTGCTTCTTATTATAATAACAATAATAATACGTTATATTTCTATAGTGCCTTTAAAGTAGCATCTCAAGGCACTTTACAGACTTCTTCTTCTTCTGACTTGCTTCTGAGTTTGGAGTGGGCGGTCCTTCTCTGATGATGTCAGTTTCATCAGTCTTCAGCCACAGTGTTCTTAACCTCACCCCTCTTACCATTAGCTTGCTATGAGGGAATGATGAGCAAAAAGGAAGCCCCGCCCCCTACTCAATATTCAGTTTCAGTTGGAAGCACTTCAACAGGGTTGGATCCCTGTGCATTCAGAGACAGGAGAAAAAATATATAAGCTTAATCATTAATTGACCAAGATTAGCAAATGTCAGGTCTGATCAGGGGGGTGATCGCAGATGAAAGTGAAGAGCGTGGGGGAACGTAATTTCAAATTGTAGAGGGTTGTGGTTTACGCAGGCCCTTGAAAATGTCTCTGGGGGCCCCTAAATGTATGGGCCCTAGGAATCATCCTAACTCCTCCTGAAGAAGATTTCTATTCTCTCAGTGTGAAGTATTTTCTAAGTGTAAAGCAGTTAATTTTCTCTTCACAAAATGTATGTAGTGTTTGCAGCAAACATGCCAGCCTGTGTTAAAAATACAGTGATATGTCTGTGTAAGATGAGTATGCCTACAGGAGCAACACTAGGAGAAGGCTGAGTGACTGATTGTGTAGAATAACTGAATATGTAAAGCACTGATCATATATGTTAAATACTTGTATGAAGCTATATGTGTCAGAAGTTAGAATGAGTAACATATTATCAAGTTATTATCCTATCATAACAATGTATGTAAACACTTAATCCTTTTGCATAAGTTGCATCTATGGAGAGAGAACTTTGGTGTCAAAACAGTTGCTGACACAGACCTGTAACATCTCTGCTGACATGAGCTAGTGGGCTGAGAGCCAAGAATAGCAGGACCCCTTAGACTAGAAACCTATTCAAAAATGGTCAAGAGTTAAAAAGAGACTTAGGGGTGTGTCAAATAATCCTGTATAAAAATTGTAACAAACACAGATACTTCAGAAGGTGCAGGAGAGACTTCAGAAGGTGTCCAGGAGAGACTTCAGAATGCTCTGGGGTCTGCTCTGCTCTTTCTCGGCTTTATTATGGAGAATAAAGTCTATTTCCTGATATTCAAAACCTCTGGTCTGATAATTTGTAATTGATTAGTCGTCAAAATTTACGACAAATGGCGCCCAACGTGGGGCTGGACAGAGACGAACAGGTGACACTGGACATGCTGGGGCTTGGAGGAAAAACACAAATATGTGGCCACGATAAAAAACGGTAAGCAATTTTCGCTTATACGTTTGTGTTTTTTCTACCAAGGACCTGCTTGTAACGGTAAAAAGTCACTTGAACTGTTTCTCCAGCTATTACGAACTACAAGTAAAACTAAAAAAGTAAAAGTAAAGATATAAAAGGAAAACAATGGGGTTTTGAATACCAGAAGAAAATAACAATTTGCATGCAAATGATCTGTGTTTTCCTAAGAGGGCCTTGACGGATAGGATAAACGTTAACTAGTAACTGTTACTCATGTTTGGGAAATTTTTAATATTATGAAGAATATGCATAGAGCATTTTTATGTTTTAAAAGGAAGTTCTTAAAGTGTGGTGACAGTTAAGAGATTAAAGCAGATTAATAAAGTAGAGAGAAGCGCGCAAAGACCTCGGAGTACCCGTTCTGTTTTAATAATGATAAATATTATTATGCAGGAGGCTGGGGGAAAAAAGGCAAAAATCCTGTGAAATGCTATTTTTACTGAAGGACAGTAAAGACGGGAGCAGAAGTAACAGGCACTCAAGAGGAGTGTAGTGAAGAATTCTGTGGTTACAGCTCTAAGGTTAGAGGCTGTTCGGACAGGTCACTCAAGAGGAGTGAGATGTATTTATGTAATTGTAAGTATTTGTGCATTTGTCTGTGTTGGACTGAAGATACTGGTATGCAGAAGCTACCACCTTTGATCTAGAGAGACTAGAATAGAGGTGAGGTTCAGGTTACACAGTGTAAGAGATGAGGTTAGGATGAGTGAGAAGTATGATTGTGTCTAGAAGTATGTTTGCAATAAGAGTGAGTTTAAAAGAATTATCGTTTTATATTATAATATAAAAGGAAGATTGCATATGTTGTGTGATTTAAGAACAATAAGATAGAGATTGTTGCAGTTTAGGCAAGAGATTGTGATACAGAGGAGGTTTAAGCCTCATAAAATTATTTGAGATCATATTGCATTTGAAAGACACAGACTGAAAAGAAGAATATATACTAGTTAAACATTTTTCTGAATAATCTCTGTGTGTTTGAAGTGTTTTTAAGTATGAACTAGGCAGAGAGGTGACTGAAATTCCTGACATGTCGACAGTCTGGAAGAAGGTCTGCTTCAGGAGTGGTAAGAATCTGTCTATTTTAAGAACAAAAGTTTCACAGGACAGATAGAAGCTAAAGAGTCAAGAAATATTATAAGGTATTAAAAAAAAAAATAGAAATATAAAGTAATGTAATAAGATAAATGAAATAAGAAAATATACATGATAGAATAAGATTTAATAAATAAAAAGTGTTAATAAAAATGCAACTTGAAGCTATACTAATAAATATTAAGAAATTCAAAAATTGCATAAAACTAACTACATATGGAGATAAATTGTTAAAGTGATCAGGAAATAAATTTACTAAATCAGTATGAATCAAAAAAGATAAGTTAATAATTAGAGTAAATAAAGAATTAGAAGAAAAAACTTTAATGAATATTGATTAATTGAAGAGTTAATGATCAAATGTTTAAGAAAAATAAGCTTAAAAAAATGAATTAGGAAAATCTAAGAGATAAAAATGCTAATTTTTGAAAAGGAAAAGAAGCATAGGAAAATGGAGAAAAAAGAAGTCCAAACATTGTTTAATAGAATAAAAGAGAAGATGTTTAAAAATATATATTATAAAGAAATATAAGATAAAAATTAGAAAAAACAGTAACATTTTAAAGACAATAAGATTTGGCTTTAAAAGATAAAATTATGTTTAAGTGCAATAAAAAATTGTTGTGGAGTAAGTTGACTGTTGTCATCTGTTTTAAAGTCAGCTACAGGCTGTCATCTGAGCCAACAGCTATTTGTAATAAAAGCAGTGAGTTAGATGTAAAGCATAGACACTGAGGAAAAATGAAAGAACATCATAGTGAGTTCAAAAATTATATAGTTAATATTTTATGTACTTAAAACTAATTGACAATTAAAAATTGCATTTCAGATTGGAAAAATGCTTAAAGTAAACAAACATGTAGAGTTAAAATAGTACTATGAACTTGAAGCTATTGCAGTAAGGATTTTTAACAGGTATATTAGACATTAGGCCACCATATAGTACTGTTGAATTAAAACAGGTATAGAAATGTTAGAGAAATTAAAATAATGTAAGATGTAATGTAACTAGTGAGGAAGCACTGGAATAAATTAATAAAAATAAGTGAAGCACAATCTGAAGTCAAAGAAATTAATTATAAGAACATTTAAGAAATAGAAAATTAAGCAAATTTACATATGATAAAAATGATTGAGAATTAGAGAAAATAAATTGTTAAACAGCAAAAAGAAAAATTAGATAAAAGGAGTCTTTATTTGATGAAGGAAAAAATGGGAAAAAAAAAGAGTCATGAGCTAAATTCTATATATATATTAATTAAGAGGACATAGGGATGAACTTTGGGGGACTGTAGTCTTGTACCTACCAGACATCTGAGTACACTGGCAAATGGAAAGGTGTTTGAAAAACACAATGAGCAAAATGGCTGTTGACACTTGTGACATGCTACAGCAGTGATGCAGGCACTGCATACCCAGGATTTACTGAGGACTGAAAAAGCTACATGTGCTCAGAGACATTCAAAAGAGACACTAACAAGAGACTGATGAACTGTTCAAAGAGAAAAAAAAACGCTCCACCAGAACTTTACATAAGCTGAATCAAAGAAAACAAGCCAGCCCAAAGAGAGAGGGGGAAACACAGTGCCCTGATATGAAGCAATTTCAGGACAATATAGAATAGACTGTTACACCAATCTGTGAACTAGTTGTCTCAGGTTGCGAGGGGGGATAGTCTGACAGTCCATCTCAAAGTAGCTCCTAAAGTCCAAATTAAGTTCAAGCATTACAGAAGGAAAATTAAGAACAAAAGTTTAGCTACCCATTCTTGTATCAAATCAGACTCCTGTCAATTTGAGAGAGAAATTATTATCATGCAAATTTTTAAGTAAGAAAAAGTGTTATAAGGAAATTCTACAGTGAAATTTTAAATGCGTAATGATATATTATGATGAATGTTAAATAATTTAGGTTTAAGTTTTAATAGGTTTAATCATAAAAGTCCTTAAACGTTGAAGGATAAATTACAATGCAGCAGATTGACTAAAGAAAAAGAGAAAAAGCGTTTGATAAGGCAATAGATAATTTGGAGAATGAATAAGATTGGAATAAAGTATTTAAGTTAAAATTAAGTAAAGAAAATATCTTACCGTAATCATGTTATGAATGGCCTAAATCAAGATTGAATATTGAAAACTGGAAAGAGATTCAAATTTAGAAAAATGATTAAAAAAAAAATGATACAGTTAAAGGGAAGATTGAAATAACAATTGAAATAAATTCATAAGAGATGGTAAGGTCAAAAAGTAATACTTCTAAATTACTATAAAACAAATTGAAAGAGAAAAGTGTTTAAGAAAAAGATATTGTTTCACATGAAAACATATGTGAAGAATAATTAGAAGAAAATAGTAAGGAATAATAGTTAAAACAGAGCAAAGAGAAATTTACAAAACATACAGTAAGTTTTAGTCAGCTGATAAAAAAAAGTGCATCAAAATTGTATAAACAACTAGTTTAATGGGAGTGCCTTAGGAAATAATTATGAGCCAAAAGAAAATAACTCAAAGACAAAAAAGGAATTAATATATAGATCAGAAAATAAATTAGTAAAAGAAAGAAGTGTCAAATTCCAACTAAATGATTGTCATTACAGGACTGAGATGCAGATAAAATCAGCCAGCACAGTGAGGGTTAAAATGGATTAGATGCAGATCTGTCCAGAAATAAAACCACTAAATGCTGAAATAGGTATAAAACTCTATTGAAAAGTGTAAAAATATAAGAGCACTAATAGAAACATCTATAATGTAATATGCAATCTGTCCTAGACACTTCTATTTAAATTTAAATTTAAAGTAGTAATAAATTATAAGTAACTAATAATATTTAATTGAAGTTAATTTGATAATTAAAATAAATGGTTAATCAAGACAGATAAAAGAGGCTTAATGTTGATAATATGATTTAAGAGCAATCAACAGAAGAAGATTTTCCAGCTGAAGTTCATATTGGATGTGAAGATATGCTCTTTTGGATGGTAAATATATTAAGTGCTTAGTTTCTATTGAGTTTATTTTAGGTAACTACCAGAGGAGGGTAGAAACTTGTTTGTACTTGTGTAGCTTGATGAATAGCAAACACTGTATACACCAGAATGCATAAAAGGTTAAAATTAGGGAAAATATCTTAGGATGAACACTGTCACAATAGGTGGATGATTGAATTATCTACAGCTTCACAGAGCTCTAGTTCAATTAAAAGACTTGACTGGAGACCATTGCTCCAAACAGTGAGATGATGACTGTTTTTGGTGTTGACTGGATAGAGAATTATTCTGTAAACAAGCACAGTTGAGAAACTATGATGAGTAGATGATTGGAGATGGTAGCAAAAGCAAATTATGAAGCTGGAACAGTTATTACATCTGTGACAAGATAAGTAGTTCCTAAATTTTGAAATGCCTTCAGAAATAAGTTCATAAAGGGTTTGCATTCATAAAGTATTCATGAAGTTAATAAGTGATCAATAAATAAAAACATCTAAAGGAGTATGAAAAATTATGAATAAAGCAAAAGAGAGAATAATTGTATTATGCTCAATTACCAGAAATGGCTGAAAGAGATGAAGATGATCCATCAAGACCAACGCTCAATGAAATATGTGAAAATAATAAACTTAATGGGATTAATGTGTTAACAAGTGCATTGGTGAGTGATGGCATGGAAACTGACAGAAACAGGCATCTAACACTGCAGCGCATGAACTGCTATTGGGTCGACCCATGAAAGAAACCTTGCAAGAAACAGCATGACCCTTGCAAGAAACCACATGAAACTGCATAAAACCTGGCATATAATCTCACCTATAACCTTGCATAAACCTCTTGGAATGGTTTGCAAAGATGTCTAATGCAGTAGGGACTTTAATGAAGAAACAATTAATTGCCATGTGCAAAGCGATATCTGTGCAGGAAACCAGAAAGGAGCCATGTGAGAGAGCAGTGATACAAGGTCCAATTGGTCTAGGTGATTGAGTCTATCTGTGGATGCTCTGGAGAGCTCAGGAGGAAAGGACCATATCTGGATGAGGGCAAATCCAACAGCTGCCAAAGTGGATGCCATTAATGGGGTACCAATGCCTCAAAGGAGCGAAAGGAAACAACTCCAGCAAGGAAAAGCTGACCGGAAACAGAGGAGCCTGAATATTCCACAGCTCTAAACTACTAAGTGCAACATGTGAAAGCAAGAGTTTATCAGAGCAAAGAAAAGAGTGATTCTGATAATTTGCCTGAGTACCACATACAGCAGTGCCACAAGTCAAGGGATGATGAATGCACAACTGCAGATTTCAGAACTCAGACTCTTAACCACACATCTCCATCAACATCTTTTCAAAGTTTAATGAAGATGCTGATAGCTTAGAAGAAGAGAAACAAGGATGAGCAAAGATCAAGATCAACATTTGATGCTTTTTACGTTTGCATATTGATTTTGTTTGCATATTGCTTTCATGGTACCTATATATAATATCACTTAAGTATATTCTACATGAGTGTGAAAACTAGCAGCTAGCACTGAACCAACTGAATACTTATGCTTAAAACTTTATTGTCTTTGATGTGTTAAGAGAAAAACAGAGTACAGTCTTTTACTTCCTTCAAATCAAGGGGGAAGACGTTTGGCTGGACTTCTGTCAAAGTACAGTGGCATAATCTGGTCAATTGATAACAGCTATGTGGCTAATATCAGTCACTAGATAGAGGTAATTAAGAGAACTGGATTATGAAATTGCACTTTGGGGTTAAAAGACAATAATATTAAGACTAAAGTCTTAAGAGGAGGGATTGAAGAAGATTTCTATTCTCTCAGTGTGAAGTATTTTCTAAGTGTAAAGCAGTTAATTTTCTCTTCACAAAATGTATGTAGTGTTTGCAGCAAACATGCCAGCCTGTGTTAAAAATACAGTGATATGTCTGTGTAAGATGAGTATGCCTACAGGAGCAACACTAGGAGAAGGCTGAGTGACTGATTGTGTAGAATAACTGAATATGTAAAGCACTGATCATATATGTTAAATACTTGTATGAAGCTATATGTGTCAGAAGTTAGAATGAGTAACATATTATCAAGTTATTATCCTATCATAACAATGTATGTAAACACTTAATCCTTTTGCATAAGTTGCATCTATGGAGAGAGAACTTTGGTGTCAAAACAGTTGCTGACACAGACCTGTAACATCTCTGCTGACATGAGCTAGTGGGCTGAGAGCCAAGAATAGCAGGACCCCTTAGACTAGAAACCTATTCAAAAATGGTCAAGAGTTAAAAAGAGACTTAGGGGTGTGTCAAATAATCCTGTATAAAAATTGTAACAAACACAGATACTTCAGAAGGTGCAGGAGAGACTTCAGAAGGTGTCCAGGAGAGACTTCAGAATGCTCTGGGGTCTGCTCTGCTCTTTCTCGGCTTTATTATGGAGAATAAAGTCTATTTCCTGATATTCAAAACCTCTGGTCTGATAATTTGTAATTGATTAGTCGTCAAAATTTACGACACTCCCCCCTAAAATCGCCCCTGGTTGTTTAATCAAACTACTTCAAGAGTTCACACCTGAATATGCTTGTCGTTAATAGCAGGTTTGGCGTGCTGAACCAGGAGAGAACCCTAAACTTGGGGATAATTGAGCCCAAGGCTCCCACCTGGTCAATTAGCATATAAAGGGGGTCGAGATTAGGTAGCTCCGGAAAAGGAAAAAAAAAAAGAGGAGATGGGGTGGAAGGGGGGATTCTTCCAAAAACAAAGATAGGACAGTAGGGTGAAATCTGTCTATTTAGAGTAAACTTGGATCAATCTGATTGGATTATTGCTGATTACGGATCAGAAGCCACCCGTGACCAATCATTTCACATGCTTCTCTTGAAATTAGTTTATAAAACTTAACTTAAAACAAGCTGAAACAGCACAATTCCTATTTTTTGGGGGGGTGAAACTTAATTGTTTTATATTTAATCAACTTTTATTTGTAAAAACAAGCGAGTTAACTTAATTCCTTCAGGCTGGAAGGAGTGTACAAATCCATGTCTTTAGAACCACAAAACTACTAAAATCATCAAGAATCAGTAACACACTTATCTGCCAAGATTTCATTCATTTAAACTCGAGACATAATGTAAATAATCATCTAAAAATTAGGTTCAATTTGTACTCACAGGGTTTAAATACCAGAAAAATCATCAGCAAAAAAGTGAAGATGAATTCAGAGGAAAAGACGACGACTCTCAGATCTCCAACTGCACCTTCACCATTAACTGAAGTGGAAAATGAACAATAGTATTTTATTAACAATACACACTTGTGTCTCAATATGAAAACCAGTAAGTGCAGCTGATTCAAAGGTGGTGGAGGACGACAAACAAGGGAATGGGTGAAAATCAAACTGAGAACAAAGAAAACTAACACGGAATTAAACACAAAACATATTGGAGACAGGATCATGTTCACTCGCCTGTTTTCAGTACGAGTTCAGTCATCAGAGTAACAGAGTTCAGCAAAACAACAACAACTGATCCAAACACATACACAGGAGCAGCAGGATGAAGATCTAGAAGAACAAAAGTAAGGGTAAAGTCCAAATCAGAAAGGTGCAGTAGAAAAATACATTTTCACTAAACATTTATTGATTTAGCAATGTTTTTTTCCACAACAACTTACAAGTAAGGATAAAAAATGCACTTCAAATCATCAGATATATAAATGATATGACAAAATTAGTTTGCAAAAAGTGTCGGTTTAGTAATTTTACAGTGTTCGTTTGTAAAATTACTATTATTTTTCTTTTTTTTTGGTGTTGTATATAGTAATATACGGTTTTATGCAAAAGTTTGTGCACCCCTCTGTGGCTGCATAGTTATGTGCTCTTTCTTGATCGCAGTGAAATGTCATTCAGTTTCTAGAGAAAGCTAGATGATGTCATGTTTTACACTAAAAAATATATGCAGGCGTGGCGGAGTGGCGTAACGATTAGCACAATCGCCCTTACAGCAAGAAGGTCGTTGGTTTGAACCTCGGCTGGGTCAGTTGGCATTTCTGTGTAGAGTTTGCATGTTTCCCCCATGTTGGCGTGGGTTTCCTCTGGGTGCTCCGGATTCCCCCACATAGCAAAGGTATAGGTGAGTTGGGAAAGCTAAATTGTCTGTAGTCTGTGTGTGAATGAGTGTATGGATGTTTCCCAGTGATGGGTTGCAGCTGGAAGGGCATCTGCTGCGTAAAACATTTGCTGGATAAGTTGGCTGTTCATTCCACTGTGGTGACCCCAGATTAATAAAAGGGCTAAGCCGAAAAGAAAAAGTATATGAACAAATGAATGAATGAATGAAATAGGTTACGCAACAGTTTGAGCACCCTCTCTTTTGTGTGGATTTCAAAGCCTGTAGTCACTTAATGCTGATTGATTACAACACAAAATTGATTTGAGTGACTCAGTGAACCTTAACAATTCTAACACAGATGCAACAATCATGAAAAAGGATATTTAAGATAGCTGACTGTTGTGCTTCTCCTCATTGTGAACCAGAAAGTAGCAACATGGGAACCTCAAAAGAACTTTCTAATGACTTAAAACTAGGATAATTCACCAACATGAATTAGGAGACGGATGTAAAAAGCTGTCACAAAGGTTAAAAGTCTCTATCTTCACAGTTAGAGATATAGTAAGAAAATGGAAGGCCACATGAACAGCTCTTGTAAAAGAAAGATTTGCTAGGCCTAGAAAAATATCTGGAAGGCAAAGGTGAAGAATGGTCAGAATGGTCACAGACAAACTACAGACCACCTCCAAAGAGCTCCAGCAACATCTTGATGCTGGAAATATCACTGTACATTGTTTCACAGTACCAGCACTCTCCTTACCAAGAACAGCTCAATTGAAGGGTAATTCAGAAAAAGCCTTGGTTTTATAAGTATGCAATCATGAAAATGATTATGGTGCCCAAACTGTTGCATAAAACTGTACCTGTACATAAACTTGTCAGTTTGCATAGTTTTATTCTCTATTTACTTTATTTTATCTGTGATTTGTCTTGTTACTGTATTGTTGCACTGTGGAAACATCTGTCACGAAAGCAAATTGCTGATATGTAAACCTACCTGGCAATAGAGCTCTTTCTGATTCTGATTTTACAAATGAACTACCTGACGGATGATATTTGAGCACAAACACAAATATACAGTATACCCTTTCCCACAACAGATCCATTTGATCATAAGCATGCAGGAGCAGAGCAGGATTTGATGAAATATCACAATGAGTTTTAAAGGGATAGTGCACTCAAAAATGTGTCATCATTTATGCATCACTGAATCATTTCAAACCTTTATTTATTCTGTTGAACACAAAAGAAGATATTTTGAAAAATGTTGGCAACCATTGACTTCCATAGTATTTGTTTTTGCTACAATGAAAGTCAATGGTTACAGGTTTTTAACTTTCTTCAAAATATCTTCTTTTATGTTCAACAGAACAAAGAAACTCTTAAATGTTTGGAACTACTTGAGGGAGAGTACATGTATATAGTGAGTAAATATAAATTTTGGGGTGAACTATCCCTTTAAAAAAAAAAGAGACTCAAATAAACTTGTTCCATAGGAGAAAAACTAAAAGGTTTGAAAAGGAAAAGAAAGTGCTGAGTAGAAAACATCATAGTAGAAAAATAAAAGCAGAAGATTAATACTGTACCACATTCAAATGAGATTGTGAAGTCCCTTGTGGCCCAGATTAACTGAAAATACATAATCATGCAGGCCCATCCAACACAATCTGAACACAAACAGATACAACATCACTCAACTTTTATAGATAAATACTGTACACATTTATTTTTGTAACTTTTCGCTTGAATGTAAAAGGTGCTCAGCATAATTGAGTACAGCCCATTTTAAAAATTAATAATTCATTTTCTCTATTTCTCAGTGAATATAAATCTATCTGTCATGTTTACCAGTGAACAAACCACCAGATGTCGCCGGTAAACACTCACTCATGAAACTGCAAATCTGCCAGTTAATGGACTTCAACTTCATACATGCTCTTCACCCACACACCTGCTTTCTCATTTAGCTTGATTTACATTCACACCTGAGAACTTTCAGAGACTGATTAACACACACTATTTAAGCCACTCATTCAACTCCTTCAGTTTGCAGAGTCTTGTTTATCTGTAAGGTGACATTACAACGCGTTATCCTGGTCTTGGTTTCCTGTGTTTTGATCTTTGCCTTGTTTACTTATTTAATGCTGTTTGCTGCCTGCCTCTGACCAACTGCCTGTTGTTTTGACCTTGACTCTGGATTGCCCTCATACATCTGTTTGCCGGTATTGACCACTGCTTGCCTGACAATTCTAATAAACCTGCACGTGGATCCAAACTTCTGTTGTTGGTGTCGTTACACTATCACACAAATCTATATTAACACTTCTCCCAATTCATTGGCATCAACGTCATCGCTTAATGCCTGCTTAACTGAAATTAAAGCTTGGATGCAATATAATCATCTTAAACTGAATAGTTCAAAGATTTTAGAGATTTTATTGGTTGGCACTCTTTCTAACATCAAGAGGTGAAGTGAATTTGAGTTAAGGTTGATGGGTCTGTCTTATCAACATCTCCAGAGGTGCATAATCTCGGTGTTCTCCTGGACTCTCAGCTTAGTCTGAAGCCTCATTTTAAGCATGTAACTGAAATGGCCTTTTATCATCTTTGAAATATAGGTCGCTTACATCCTTTCCTCTCGAGGCCTGATGCTGAAAGTCTCCATGCTTTTTATCGCGTAACGCTTGGATTTTTGCAATTCTCTGTTCGGAGGGTTAACAGCAAATTCTCTCAAGATATTACAATACATCCAAAATTCTGCTGCACGTGTGTTGACGCATACATGGTATTGGCCTCACATCACTCCTATACTCCAACAGCTTCTCTGGCTGCCCATCAAGTCTCGTATTGATTTTAAGACACTGATTTTAACATATAAAGCGGTTCATAGTTCTGCTCCAGCCAGGTTACATTTGTGACCTGATATCCATTTCCTCTACATCTCGCTGTCTATGCTCTGCCTCGGGTACTACGCTGTTTCAGCCTCACTGCAAACTTAGCACCATGGGAGGTAGGGCGTTCTCTTTCCGTGCCCTCAAACTGTGGAATGCTCCTCCCACTAACATTAGGAATGCTGGTTCACTGGACGGTTTTAAAAAGTTAATTAAAACACATCTTTTCAGGAATGTTTTTAATTTGTGAAATCTTTTTTTACTTTACTTGTGTGTGTGTGTGTGTGTGTGCGTGTGTGTGTGTGCGTGTGTGTGCGTGTGTGTGTGTGTGTGTGTGTGTGTGTGTGTGTGTGTGTGTGTGTGAGAGTTTTAATGTTCTTTGTTGTTTTTACTTTCTTGTAAACGCTTTGGGTTTTAGAAAAGTGCGTCATAAATAAAATATATTATTATTATTATTATTATTACTATTATTATTGTATAGACAATGTATTTTGGTGCATTTAAACAAAACGGATTTCTTAAACAGATATATTTTTTAAAAATAATATTTTAGGCACCAAACATATTGAGAAATTGACAGATAATACAATTAAATTCAAGCAAAATATTGTAAAAATAATACAAACTAATACAAAAGTATTAAATAATAGTATTAAAAAATAATACAAAAGTTCAAGTAAATTGTATTTAATATTTTTCTATAACATAAATTTGGGTGTACTATATTTTGGTTCGTTATCATTATCGCACCGTTAGTTAGATAAGCTCCAGATTTGGCTTCAGTATGGACTAATTAAATGTATATGCACAAATATAATATTGTAGAGCTTCTAATTAAAAATATGCATTTAAAAGAGAGATTTGTGAGGGGTGTACTTATATATGCTGAGCACTGTATATGTTATGAGATGTTTCATTGACTCATTTAATAAAATTGCGTTGTCATACCTTTTTCATTTTCCAGTGCTATTATGTAGAAGTGGACCATAATGGCATTAATAAATAATGTGAGAATAAACCACACTGATCTCCTGACCAAGGGCAAACCTAAAAAACAAGCTTAATATTATCAGCAGTCTTCCATATTTTGTGCTTCATGTTTTTTTTTTTTTTCATTTATTTATGCTTTCGAATTGCATTATGGGACCTTGATCTTCCTTCCCACAACTTTTAACCTTAAAAAGTTCAAAAAGGGACATTTCGTCACCTTAGAATTAAAAGGTTCTCTCTGACATTTTTGTCAAAATTTAGTTATAAACATATTCTTATTAAATGACAACTTATTTACATTATGGCATGTTTTTTTTACAAGTTGTTTTTTATTTAAAATTAAAAAAATGTTACACACACATTGTTTATTATGGAATGCAAACATAAAGTTAAAATTTTAACATCAAAACCTGATAAAGCAAAAATCAACATCCCATAATGCAATTCACAACCAGAAATAAACAGAAAACACTTGTGAATCACAAAATATGGAAACTGTTAATTAACAGACATTTTTTTGTTGTCACCGTATAGTGCATATCTGGGTTTAAAATCAAATGTAAAATAATAATAATAATAATAACCAGTGTTAGGGAGGTTAATTTGGAAATGTAATAGATTACAGATTACAAATTACACTATTTAAAATAAAATTAGTAGTGTGCCTTTGCATTTTTTTAATAAAAGTAAAGTAACTGATTACATCTGGTTACTTTCTGATTACTTTTAAGTTTCTAATGGGTATTTTCAACTAAATCATGTTCAAGCATTTATACCAAGCAGGTGTGACCTTACAGTAGCTCTGTTTACTGTTAGACTCTTAACATCTTTCATCACTTGAATTAGGATTATCCTCTTAAAGCCCAATGTGTTTTTACATGCACTTTTTATTTCTCTTTGCTATTTGGGCTTTATGGAACCTAATTAAAATAGAAATCTAAGTATCATCTTTTGATATGATATACTTTCATAGAAAAATTATGTCCATATATGTGGACTCGTGGTCCGAATTTACATACAACACTTTTTCCCGTTTTTTTTTTTTTATGCATATTTAACATAATTTTTTTTTAACTTGCTTTGACTATCAGAAAGTAAAAACAACATTATTTTCCCATTTTGGACAGGTAAAAATAGGGTTTGGAACGTTTCCTATGCAAAACAGTTGGGGATGACTGTATGTCTGTAACAAAATATAAAAAAATTCAAACTATATAACAATATATAAATAGATAGTATACATACATAAATAGTACGTACATAATGCATTTAAAATACTATAGTAATTTAAAGTAAAGGGAAATATTTAGGAATGAGCATTATATTGTATATATATTTACAACTCTTCATTAATAAATTCCACAACATAATGTAGTATCATTAGTGACTATCATGAACTAATAGTAATTAGCATAGTGTACTTTAGCCTTTACTACAGTAAACTGTATATATAGCAGATTTGTAATCATTAACACTTTCATAAATAACTGTAATTTAATTACACATTTTTTCTCAGTAACTGTAACAAATTAATTTTAATTTTATTTTGTAATTAAATTACATAACGCTGTTACATGTAACTAGTTACTCCCCAGCACTGATGATCAATGTACACTTCTACAAAAACTGATCTTAGATTATCATATGAAATAACCAAAGAACACTTTAACAACTGCATTCAAGTTCTTCATAACAAATGCAGAAACGTGAGCAATATGTTAATCATAATAATCATGATTTGTGTGCTGATAAATCAAACACTTACAGCCCATCTGTTCTCCGCATGTGAAATCCCAGTTGTATTTTTGCACTGTGAGGAAAACTGGTAAAACTACAACAACGAAGGCTGAAAATGAAAGTGATTATACAGAATCAGAGCTTTCTTGACAAACACAATTACAGGTTTATCTACAAATGAGTGTCATTTTTATAAATATACACAAACACATGCACACAGACCAAACAGCTTAAGCGAAGATGTGTGCCAGTCACTGATTCCAGCATAGGGGTTCTCAAATGTCTGCCACATTCTGATTATATATTAGGCACTGTGTTTGTCAAAGTCATCTGTGATAAATGTAGGGACTAATCTGACTCCCCTGACTGGCAGGTCATCCAGTGCCTGTAGTTAAACTGTCAAACTCACACTGGTTTATTACAAACCTTTTATCAATAACCTTTCCTGCAATTAACTGCAAGACCGAACATAGAAACATCTGATTGACAAGCAGCATCTACAGTACAGTACAGGCTCATTCTGAAAATGTAGTCCTATATACATTTCTGGAGAGCCCCAAATATGTCCCAGGAGCTACGTTTTTTTGCAGTTTTTGTTTTCATGAATCCACCAGAGGCTGCTGTTTATGCTTTTTGAAGTCTCAAATTTCTCTTGCGAGTGCCATTCATGCCTGCTGTTCTCATGTAAATCCACCAGAGGCCGCTGATGACTCCTGACTGACAGATCGACTGACCCACCCTCCTCCTTCCCTAAACCAAACTGATAGCTTTTTAAAAGCACCAATCGACCCACCCACACACTTCCCTAAACCAATCTGACAGTGTTTTTAAAAGCAATCCAGAAAAAGAAAAGCCCTCGCCCAGAGGTGGGACCAAGTCATTGTTTGGCAAGTCACAAGTAAGTCTCAATTCATTGCCCTCAAGTCCCGAGTCAAGTCCCGAGTCAAGACAGGCAAGTCCCGAGTCAAGTCCCGAGTCAAAGGCAACAAGTCTCAAGTCAAGTCCAAAGTCCTGCAGTTTGATTTTCGAGTCTTTTCGAGTCTTTTTAACAGAAAAATAAAATATATACAGATTAGGTATGGTTGTAAGATCTGTATTAATTAAACAAACCTTTTTTTATTAAAGAACATTGCTTAGATATATAAAAATACAAATGCAATTTTCTGACAAAGTACTGAACAGTGCTGCGTCTCGTCTCCACAGCATAATGCACAAGAACGAGTTCCACCAAAAAAAGACTCCATTTTGCCTCACATCACACAGAAATTGCAGGTCTCCTGCTGTCTAATTCATTAAGTTTAGTTGTGCTATGTTATGTCTTCGGTGATCAACTTGTGATTAACCAAAATTACATAACCTCAATGTGGTAGCAGTAGAGCAACTCCTGTATATGCTGCAAAGTTAAATTGAGTGAAATTGGAATTTTGTCAATTGAATCTCGTGTGTGCTGAAGAGATGGAGTTGCAAATCCGTCTAGCAGCAATGTAAAATGGTAGCACATATTGTTAATGAAGTAGGCTACTTCATACAAACAATAAAGTTGTTTTCTTCACATAACGTTGAAGAGCTTTGCTCTCTACCTTGTGTGATGCTCGTGCACGGATTTCCTCTGTTTGTGGACAAAACTGATTGCGAGTTCTCAAATTTTCTCTCGCTCTCAAATATGCACTGCTCACACACAAATTTTCTTGAGCGCTCTCAGAGATTATATGCAAACTCACAATTTGTGTCGTGTTCCCTCTTCCTTTCATGCTTTTTGATATGATTCATATTGCTGCACTGTTTAATAACAATACCCAAAATACTAAAATAGACTTATATATTAAATGTTTAATCTAATAAACCATAAAATTTTTGGTTGTTTTATATGATGAGATATTTTCAGTTTCAAACACTTAAAGACAGAGAATAGACCAGTGGTGCCCCCCTGAAAATTTGCTTAAGGGGGGCCAGAAGAGGCCAGCTACGTCAGTGGCACCAATCAATCCACAATAATTTAGTGGCCGCTATTTATTTATTGAAATATTGCATTGTATTGCATTTATGTAAGTAGATTTAAATAAATAATGTCAACAGCAAAATCATATCGGGTTGGCCACAGGGGTGGCTAGAGTTTACACAGGGGTAACACCCCTTGTAAAGGGGTTTACACCACTATAAGGCACCCCTGGAATAGATGTTGGATGTAAAGAATACATTTTATTTTAAAAGCATTTAAACAAAAACTAATGCAAGCGGAAATGTAACTGTGATAAAATAAGGAAACACTTGATAAGGTATTATAGCCTACTGTATTATTCACTCTTCAAATAAATCTCACTATCAATCTTATTTTATCATGGCAGCTAAAATAAAGTAAACTAGTGTCTGCTGGCTTCCACTTTGCTGATGAGATTGTGGAGGACAATTTCCATGTCATCCTCTTCATTTTGAGGAAAGCTGTGCCACAGGGCCCCTGAACACGCATATTGGCATGTACTGTGTTTTGAACAGTAGCCTACTACAGTAAAGAACTTCAATTGATCAGTTGTGGTAATACTATAGTTGCTATGGTAACACAAGTGTAATATAAACAAATTACCCAGTGCTGTATTATTTTACAATATAGGGTATTTTATACTACAAATCACTACACTTTACTGTAGTTAAAACTACACTTTGTATTATTTTATCTGTTCACTATTGGTAATACTACTGTATTATGAAGCATTCATTCACAAGTCGTAAATAATACTAGCCTAAAACATAAGTATAATACAAGTATACAACAAGTATAATACTCAAAAACACTAGAATTTATTAAAGAATTTACCTTAACCTTTTAGTTTTTTGTGTATTGTTAATAAATAGTAAAGCAAGAAAGAAACCATATCAACATTCTTGGAATAACCCTTCGCTAAGCCTCGCCCTCCTTAGTTACTGTTGCTACGCCTGTCAAGCTTTCATGCCTGGCACATCTATTACAGTGTGTATGCGCTGGTGTCAGACATTCCCAAGGATTTAATTAGTCACTTTTGGCAAACAGGTGAGATATCTGAGAAAGCCATACAAAAGAGGACTGCAGTATACATTACAGGGGTATATTCACAACATAATAGCAACTGATTAGAAAATAATTTTATCAAAATTGAAGCAAGGTTAGTCTAGCCACCTCATACGCTGAACATTCAACAGCATAGTTCATGCACAGCAGGAGAGGTGAAATTATAAAATAATCTAATAACCTAAGACACTGATGGATTTGTGCCGAATATTAGCATCATTGACCCATAACAGTGTACAGTACCTATTACTGTCAGCATGTTTGTGTGCTCTTTATCCAGTTTTTATTCAAATTTGCAGTTAAGTGGAAGAAAAAAATTGAAATGCACATTAAAGTATAAATAACAGAAGTGAACAAATTGATTTTTCCTACCAGCAAATATTAGTGTATGTATTTATATGCGTTACAATAGCGAGGGTTTAAACTAAGCAGTGCTCACAGGGTTCAACGCTAAGGATTTTTTCTACTGGCCCGATCGGGCCAGTGGTTCTGATTTTTACTTGCCCAGCCCAAATTTTCACTGGCCCCACCAAAAAAAAAAAAAGAAGTTAATCGCTATTTGAATGTACGTGTGTGTGTGTGTGTGTGTGTATATACACACACACACACACACACACACACACACAGTTGATTTCAGAATTATTAGTCCCCCTAAAGTATTAGCACCCCTGTTTATTTTTTTCCCCAATTTCTATTTAAACAGAGAACAGATTTCCTCAGCACATTTCTAAACATAATAGTTTTAATAACTCATCTCTAATAACTGATTTATTTTATCTTTGTCATGATGACTGTAAATAATATTTTACTAGATATTCTTCAAGACACTTCTATACAGCTTAAAGTGACATTTAAAGGCTTAACTAGGGTAATTAGGTTAACTAGGCAGGTTAGGGTAATTAGGCTAGTTATTGTATAACGATGGTTTGTTCTGTAGACAGTCTGAAAAACAATTAGCTTAAGAGGCTAATAAATTTTACCTTAAAATGGTTAAAAAAATGTTTTTATTCTAGCCAAAATAAAACAAATAAGATTTTGTTCAGAGGAAAAAATATTATCAGACAAAATATCAACATTTTTTTGCTTTGTTAAACATCATTTAGGAAATATTTTAAAAAGAAAAAACAAAAAACAAAAGGGGGCTAATAAATCTGTATATATATTTACGGTAATTTTTAAAATGTTTAAGGAAAACTATTCAGTTCATCAAGGCTATATTTATAAATGTAAAAAAGGTGTAATTGTTAAATATTTATTAAAATTTTAAATAACTGCTTTGTTATTGTATTTAGGTTCAAATAAAATAATTACTCCAGACATTATTGATTTTATAACTATTACCATTAATAAATATAATAATAATTAATATTAGTGATTTCTGAAGGATCATGTGACTGGAGTAATGAAGCTGAAATCTCATCTTTAAAATCACTGGAATAAATGAATAAATTAAATGATAAACTACTTTTGAACAGTTATTTTATAGTGCAACATTTCACAATTTGTATTTATGATGAAATAATTGCAGCCCTGGTGAGCAATAGAAGCTTGTTTTAACATATTTAATCACACTGACCCCAAACTTTTGTGTATTGTGTATAGAATATTTTATAAGTAAAAATGTGCACTTTAATTTTAACAACCCACAGACATCGTCACCAAATACAAATCGAGGTCAGACTTTCTCATACATACAGAGCCTCATTTCAATTGTCAGGTTTTGTAGAAATCGATCAATTGAATTAATCAATCTATTAAAGAAACGTTGACTATAATTCTGTATTTTAGGCTTAAATTATAGAGAGACATAGCAGATGAACCGAGACTGCATCAGATCAATGTAAATCTTTCTTTCGAGCTGTCAGTGCGGAAATGAACAAAACAACAGGCCTAATACAACATAGGCCTATTATACGATTAAAATATGGAAAAATTAACAGATAGTAATTTCGGTCAATTTTCCTGACGGATAAACCGAGATCAGGCTGGACAAACAGCTCTCGGTAATATTTCAGCATGCTTTCACTTTCGCATTTACCGGTAAGAATGACATCTCGCCCTGCTCATCATTCCCTCTTCATATAGCCGTATATATGGCTATTACACGATCATGATACACTGTGATATAGCCTGGGTCGTTAGTTCGTTGCATTGTTTTGTTTTCTCGCTACAATCGATACGCTCAATAGGACAGAGACCGCGTCTCATTCAGGCGATCTTGGACTGATTGATTTGGCGCGGAAGCGAGCGCAACTGCTGGATATATGCTAAAAAAACGTGCTAACGAGTGAAACGAGACAGATTCCGAAACACACGTCTATGTGTGAAAGCACCGTAAGATTGTATTTGCACACAATTGACAGACAGTCGCAGCACGCAGCTCTGGCTCGATCTGGCAGGCAAAAAGGCAGCAGCTGGCCCGATCGAGCCAGTAACATTTTGTACACTGGCCCGAGTGTCTCGCACGCTGGCCCCGGGCCATCGGGCAGTCCTTATTGTCGAGCCCTGGCTCATAATATCTAGTGGAAAAAAAGAAAAAGACCGCTGGGAAGCATAACCTGCTTTGTTTTTTTTTTTTTTAAGAAACACAGTTTAGATCTGTTTAGGATAAGAGGAGTGTGAGTTATTGCCACCTATCATTGAATGTGAATATCGAAAACAAAACCAACTTAGCTTAACTCCTTTTGCCGCCCCTCACACAGCTTGATCCACGCTGGCATTTCTCCTCTTGGGCTTTGGTTTTGAAAAGGGAAAAAATCCCACCACCCAGTCCAAACTTTTAGGATAGCGGGTGTCAGATTTTCACAATCCAATTGCGCAACGATTTGGCTTGTTTCCCTCGCTCGAAAGCTTGACAGAGCCTCTGCCCGTAGCTACGATTGGTAAGCCGCGATTGGTGGGTGGCGGTTTTTGGGCGTGGCTTAGCGAAGGGTCAGTTTAAAAGGAGGATCCCGTGAGAGCAAAAGCACTAAAGGTATGAGACGCCATCGTAAACAAAAGTCAAGCGAACGCAAAGAGACTGAATGCACGAGAGAGAGAGAGAGAGAGAAAGAGAGAGAGAGAGAGAGAGAGAGGTGTATGTTGTATGTGAGAGAGAGAGAGAGAGAGAGAGAGACAGAGAGAGAGAGAGAGAGAGAGAGAGAGAGAGAGAGAGAGAGCGAGTATTGGCACGCGAGTATTGGCTCGATCTCAAGTTCAAATTCTCTCTGCGTTCGCTTGACTTTTGTCCACTCCGGCGCCTCATAGTAGTCACGTTGGATACTGTCGAATCAAAACAATCTACCGTGCTTCGATTGGACGTCATGCCGAAAGCGCGCATGCTCACACACACGCGCGCGCATGCTGTCACACACACGCGCGCATGCTGTCACACACACGCACACATAAACGGAGAGAGAGAGAGCGGTCCATGTCAACATACTTTTTTATCGTTGGGCTTTTCATGGGAAGCAGCAAGTCTTTACAAGTCAATAGGGGCAAGTCCTAGTCAAAGTCCAAGTCATTTATGTTCAAGTCCAAGTCGAGTTGCAAGTCTTTTTATATTTTGTCAAGTCGAGTCTAAAGTCATCAAATTCATGACTCGAGTCTGACTCGAGTCCAAGTCACATGACTCGAGTCCACACCTCTGCCCTCGCCTGATTTTACCACATTCTCACCCTGTTTTTTATTTGTTTATTGAATTTTTTGGCTTTTGTTTTGGTCTCACCTTCTTTCTGGAACCGTCCTTCACCAGACTCAAACCCCATCATCGCAGTCAACTCCACTATACGTCTCAAGTCTGCTGACGTACGTGGCAAGCCAATGGACAAACTTGTATCAGCGGAAAAGCCGTCCATACAAAGGTAAATTGTCAGCTGGTAGGTGCGAAAAGGAACGGCATCATACCGCCTTGTACATTCGTTTTAAAGATGAAATGCAGCCATACGTAGCTCTGGCTACATAATTCAAGCTCTTCAGAAATGTATACTGGGGTACATTTTCACAATGAGCCTGTGTTAAATTTTTCACCATTTTTTAAGTAAAGCATACTCACTGTATTTTGTGTTTCGCTTGTATGGTGGCTCTGAACTGTTAAAACACCTCTAAAAAAACAGATTAAATTTTTTTTGTTTATAATGGATGTTAGGTCGAATTTATTTTTTAACATGTGAAAATTATGGACAAAAAATTCTAATTCAGTGTGCAATAAACTTTACTCATAAATAAATCCATCCATAAGGTATATCTACCTGCTCTTGCAGATCCAAAGGCGAAGAACAGGAGGATGAACTGTAGTGAAGGCAGAACATCAAAGCTGATACGAGCCAGAACACTGAATATTGTCTTGATCCTCTGGCTTAATTTCTCAATGACTCTCACCATCATTGTACAAAAAGAGGAAAATACAAATCTAAATATTGATATTAAAAACATTTATATCTTGATAAACTTTAAAAACAGAGCTAAACTAAATTCATTCATTTGGTATTTTAATTTGAATTCACACAATTGTTCAATATTGGAAATGTTAAGCACCACTTTTAACTACATTGAAGCTCTTTACTTGTATAACGTGCATGCAAACTTTATAAATACTGTATAATTGTGAAAATGCTATGATCTGAAATTACACTCATCGGCCACTTTATTAGGTACACCTTACTAGTACCAGGTGGGACCCCCTTTTGCCTTCAGAACTACCTTAATCTTTGTGGCAAAGATTCAACAAGGTACTGGAAATATTCCTCAGTGATTTTGCTCCATAGTGACATGATAGCATCACCCAGTTGCAGCAGATTTGTCGGCTGCACATCTATGATGCGAATCTCCCGTTCCAACACATCCTAAAGGAGCTCTATTAGTTAGTGATCTGGTGACTGTGGATGTCATACAGTGAACTCATTTATGACATGGCACATTATCCTGTTAGAAGTAGCCATCAGAAGATGGGTCCTCTATGGTCATAAAGGGATGGACATGGTCAGCAACAATACTCAGGTAGGCTGTGGTGTTGACACGATGTTTAATTGGTATTAATAGGCCCAAAGTGTGACAAGAAAATATTCCTCACACCATTACATCACCACCACCAGCCTAAACAATTGATACAAGGCAGTATGGATCCATGCTTTTATGGTGTTGATGCCAAATTCTGACCCTATCTGGATGTTGCAGCCAAAATCGAGACTCATCAGACCAGGCAACATTTCTCCAATCTTCTATTGTCTAATTTTGGTGAGTCTGTGTGAATTGTAGCCTCAGTGTCCTGTTCTGTGCTGACAGGAGTGGCAGCCAGCGTGGTTTTCTGCTGCTGTAGCTCATCTGCCTCAAGGTTGGACCTGTTGTGCGTTCAGAGATGCTCGTCTGCATACCTCAGGTGTAACGAGTGGTTATTTAAGTTACTGAAATTTACGTTAACGAGCAGTTGAACAGGTGTACCTAATAAAGTGGCCGGTGAGTGAGTTTTTGACCAGTCAGGGCTGATCAAACCAATGTGATTGCACTTGTCAAAGGGTAATGCACATGTTTTTCTTTTGTTTTATTAATCATGTCAATGTAAAATATTCTGCATATTTTGTTTGAAATGATTGTTTTTAAAATGTTGGGCCTGTAACAAACACCATTAAAGAGATAAATCATGAATTTGCAGCAAACTAATGACTAGTAATGCATTACATGAATTCAGATGAGAATACTCACAGAAAATAATATAGATGAGGTCTAGCAAAAGCACCATCACAAACAGGATTATTATCACCACACGTTCATATCCGGCGTAATTCAGACTTTTGTCCCAGGCGGTTTTAAACAGAACTGAAAGAAAGAAACAAACAATTATAGATTTAGAAGAACTAATAACAATATTAGAACATTTATTACTGTACTGTTACTTCATTAGATTTGTAGCATAATATTCAACATTTCCTATTTTGTAAATATGTAAAGAAATGTTCATGATTATAACTGCTGAGTGAAAAATGTATGTCTTTACCTGAATAAAAAACAGCTGAGAAAGCGACATATTCTGCTCTGAAACTGTAACTTTGAATAAATGATTTAGTGTTTCCTGTAAAACAGAAAATACTTTTTAATATGAAACACTTTTTAATAAAAAAAAACAAAACAAAAAAAAACATTGAGTTTAATGGAGCGTCCACACCAGATGTGACTTGTGCAAATAAATCGATCTAAATCAAAGGTAAATTGATGCGTGAACATTTTGAGTTTACTTAATTCATTTGCGTGTGAAATTCACAACAAATGTGGATTTGCATCATGGTCAAGGCATCTGTCTGCCCAGTGACTCTAGTTTCGTTGCTAAATGGCTAACATGGATTTTATTGACAGAGTAGTTGTGCTTTATGTGCTTTAGGAAGGCTGAAAAACAGCGTAGATTTGTTTGTTGCCGTGTCCGAGTCCACTCTATCCTTTCAGAGGTGAACCCAGCTCCGTGAGTTCATCAACTCCTCCAGAAACTACCTGGATAACGGAGGCTTTCAGCAGTGATTCAAACTGAGCCAAGCCCAGTTTGATGCTGTTGTTCTGTGCGGGCAGGAGGATTTCCCCTCAGGACACCAACATCAGGCACTACATCATAATCACGCCTATACTAGAGCAAGCTCCTGAATGGTTAATGCAACACAAATGCCCACTAACGTTCAGATTTTCCAATTCGAGCGATTCGCATGGTAAACACATCAAACAGCCAATCAGCGCCACCCCATTCGCACAAATAGAACCGCAGGATGTCTAATCGCATCCTTACATTGACTTAACGTATAAAAATTACTCCCGCTTGATGCTTCATCTGCATCTAGTGTAAACACACCATCAAAAAACCTTGGTGAACACTGCAAATGCGAATGCGTGACTCAATATTGTGAAACCAATAGAAGATCAAAATTTGACCTCTCTGTACAGGAATTTAAAGGGGACCTACAAAAGAAGGCGGAGCTACAAAAACCTGTGTGTCAGCAGAGTGGGAGATTCAAACCCATGACAAACATCCTATGCTAATGAGTGAGAGATCTTCACTAATGGGTGGGGCTTTCCCCTCTCTGATGACATGTATAATATATATATATATATAATATATATTTAATATATAAGTGTTCCTGTTATTATGAATCATGATTATAAAAAATTAAAATTGATTATTTTTTATTATCAGCAGCTGGTTATACTCAGACTTTTGCCACAAAAATGTTTTAACCCCTTGTGTTTTTGCACAATAGGTCCCCTTTAAAATATGGAGCAATGGCTCATTTCATCAGTGCCACATCATCTTATTTCATCCTGACCCTTTACATAGTGCCATCCAACAGATGATTCCATTTTCAAAGTGTCAACGTCTCAGTATCTGTTTCACTAGCCTTCACATTATTTATCATTACTTAAGTTGTCCATTATTGTCTATGCTTTGCTTGTATTTGAGCCAGAATTTTGGTTCTTGTCTGGGTATCCCAATCTCTGTGGTAAAAACAAAACACAACTGTTTGGAGATTATTATTGCATCTGTTTGCTCCATAAAAGTCTTATCGTGGATCCCAGTTGTAAAAGCAACAAATAATAACTTGACATCTAGTTGATCATTTGGCAAAGTGGCAGAAGGTCGATTTTTCTGACGAATCATCTGTTGAACTGCATCCCAATCATCACAAATACTGCAAAAGATCCATTGGACCCAAGATTCTCATAGATATCAGTCAAGTTTGGTGAAGGAAAAATCATGGTTTGGGGTTACATTCAGTATGGGGGCGTGTGAGAGATCTGCAGAGTGGATGACGACATCAACAGCCTGAGGTATCAAGACATTTGTGCTGCCCATTACATTACAAACCACAGGAGAGGGCAAACTCTTCAGCAGGATAGCGCTCCTTCTCATACTTCAGCCTCCACATCAAAGTTCCTGACAGCAAAGAAGGTCAAGGTGCTCCAGGATTGGCCAGCCCAGTCACCAGAAATGAACCACATTGAACATGTCTGGGGTAAGATGGAGGAGGCATTGAAGATGAATCCAAAAGATCTTGATGATCTCAGGGAGTCCTGCAAGAATGCTTACTTTGCAATAACTCAAATCACTTATTAATAAAGTCATCTGGAATGGCCGAGATGTATGGGTGCAGTTCTCCAAGCTCATGGAGTCATACACAAAATTCATTCTTTTCCTGCTGAACCATTTATATTCTATACCAGGGGTCACAAACCCTGTTCCTGGAGAGCTACCTTCCTGCAGAATTCAGTCCCAACCCTGATCAAACACACCTGAACCAATTAATAGTACCCAAAGCCGCACTTGATAATTACAAACAGGTGTGTTTGGTTAGGGTTGCAACTAAAATCTGCAGGAAGGTAGCTCTCCAGGAACAGGGTTGGTGACCCCTGTTCTATACTGTTCATTATTTCTGTTAAGTGTCAAGACTTTTGCCTAAGCAAAGTCAGACCTTACTCTCCTAATGAAATAATTAAAAATCAAGACATGATCATATTTTATTTTGGTAAAATAAGCGTAATCTAGAGGCCTTTGCCTTTCATATAAGCCACTTCTGATACCAAATGATCAACTAGAAGTCAAGTTATTATTTGTTTTTCTCAAAACTTGAAGGCGACAAGACTTTTGTCAGGTAGTGTATGTGTAAACAATCAACTTCTACAAACAATCAAAAATTGATCATACCAGTAAAGCTATTAGCATATGGAGCTGCCCAGAGTAACATGAGAGGCCTCAGGAAATAAAGAGCGCAACAAGAGACTGACTCAAACAGAGAGCCTGCAATGAAAATAGACATTAATAACCATTCTGTTTTGTGTTAATAAACAACTGTTTTACTGACATAAAATGATGCTTCCATAAAACACTCACCCTCGGAAAAACCCCAGCAGACAAAAGCAAGAAACATCAGAATATTTGGACAGAAGACAAGAAACATTTGAACACGAAAGATTGAGTCTGTGGAGAAAATAGCCAATAATTAATACGAGTTCAAATCTGCTTTATAATCATCCGACATGATTGAGACTTCTTCATGAGAAGCATCATCATGGCGCATCACACATTTTGTTTCTAATTTGCAACATACAGATATTATGGTGTGCAAAAACTTACAGAAAAAAATGTGGTGTAACAAGGTGGGCTTCTCTTCTGGTGTGTGACCCCCTCCGAGTCTTTATAATAATAATAATAATAATATTAATAATAATTCCTAACATTTATATAGCGCTTTTCTGGGCACTCAAAGAGCTTTACACAATGGGGGGATCTCCCCATCCACCACCAGTGTGCAACATCCACCTGGATGATGTGACGGCAGCCATTTTGCACCAGACCGAACACCACACACCATCTGATTGGTAGAGAGGAGACAGCGATCAAGCCAATTGAAAATGGGGATGGTTAGGAGGCCATGATCAACAGAGGCCAGTGGGCAGATTTGGCCAGGATGCCGGGGTTAAACCCCTACTATGTTCGAAGGACATCCTGGGATTAACGACCATCCATTAAACATTTAACGTCTAATCCGAAAGACGGCACTCACTGAGCAGTATGGCATCCCCGTCACTATACTGGGGCATTAGGACCCATACAGACCGCAAGTTGGGCGCCCCCTGCTGGCCTCACTAACACCACTTCCGGTAGCAACCTAGCTTTCCCATGTGGTCTCCCATCCAGGTACTGACCGGGCGCAGCCCTGCTTAGCTTCAGTGGGCAACCATGTGAAAGTTGCAGAGAGCTAGCTGCCGGCAAGTCTTTAAAATTTCTATACAGGTTTGGACACATTTGTACTAGCTCTGCTACTCCACTCTTCAGTGTATTCATCTGGCTAGTTTTGTTGTTTTGGATATTGTTCTACTGTCTGACCACCCTGAAATAAGAAACGAATTGGAAGAAAGAATTGTCAAGGGCAGAGGTCTAAAATATACCCATTGATTGTGGAATCAGCACAGATCAATGGGAGCCAAAATGAACTCCCCTAAAAGTTTACTTTGTTGAGCTGTTTTAAACTGCCAAACCTGCCAAAGGCTAACTGTTACATTTATAATTACTCGAGCTTACTCACTTTTCTGTAGCAGACATAAAACTAAATAAAATCATCTCATTAAGTAAAGTTTCACAAACTAATTTCGAAGAGCACCTGATATGATTGACCGCAGCTGGTCTCTCATCTACAATCATTAGTTAGCCAATCAGATTAATCCAAACCTACCATAAGCAGCCCAGTTAAAAAAAAATACTCCCTTACCTTTGTTTTCCAAAGAAACCCCACATCTCCCCCTTTCTTCCTTTCTCGAGAACTACCTGATCTCGTACTCCCCTCACATGCTCATTGACCAGGCAGGAGCCCTGGGCTCAATTATCTCCGAGCTCAGAGTTCTCTCCCTGGACAGCATGGCAAACCTGCTATTAATATCAAGCAATATCTAAGTGTGTACTCTTGAAATATATTTTAACATACCGAGTAGTCTTAGCATCAATCTTGTCTGGACTGTAAAAACACGCTTCTGGTCACTGTAAACTGTACATGTGTATCGTGCCTCATCTTCCTCTCTCAGTTTGTCCAGTTGAAGGAAGTAGTTTCCATGTTGAATCTCCTCATCATGATTTTCCTGCTGCTGGGCCTCTGGTTGACTCTTGTGATCTTGATACAGATGAACCACAGTATCGTCTGCTCTTCTCCATTCCACCTTAAGACCCTTCACTGCCGAAGGATTCCTAATATAACAGGGTAAAACCACTGAAGATCCCAGAGAAGCAAGCGTTTGACGAGTACATTGAATGTCGAAGCCTAAAAAAGACAATTATTCTGATGTGATATTCTTTTTTTTTGGTTTTTATGTATATACTAAACTATGATAAAAATATATTATCTCTATACCACATTTAAAACAATGTCTACTGTCCAGGGTAATAATTTAGCTAATTTAGTTTAGTTCAAATAACATAAAATCCTTTTTGGGCAATATCATGCAATAGAACGTTTCTTTTAAATTCCTCAAGTATAACTAAATATTTTATAAATGCTAAGGGTGTCACGATCCTCCAAATCCTCGATTCGATTACATTTTCGATTCTAAAGGCACAATTCGATTCGATTTTCGATTATGAATAATTAATTAATTAATGACCAATTAATTATTTGTAGCCAACCGTTTAAACTACCTGACCTGCATGGTCTTTGTTTTACCCATAAACAAATCATACAGTAAATGAATAAAGGCAAGATACACACATAATTACCACCTGTCAATCACTTTTTCTGCGGGACTCGTGAATAGGCAGTGATCTGTTTCGTTATAATGGCGTCGGTAAAAAAGACGCACAACCAACAGGAACCAGCCAACAGTATCTGAGGTGTTCGCTAAAATGACTAAGTACAAGTGAGTGAAAGATTGAAGCAGTCCTCTGACTGCCTGGACCTGCTGTCTCAAGCGCACAAGTGGCTGTGTATGCGTCTGTGTCTGTGTGGTCACGTGATTGGCATTTTCCGTGAGCGGATTTGCAACGGGGGCGGGATCGCGATGCCGGTGTTGTCTATCGGATGAACCGTACGTAATACGTACATAGCAGAGCTTGCAAAACGGTGTTTTTTTGTCGACAACACGAAATCAAAAATGCTTACACACCGGCGACTTCATTGAAAGAGGAGAGGGTTTCTGTCGACGGGTCTCCTGCTTCTGCAGTTTAACAAGCACTTCAACAAGCCTGTTTTTTTTCCCGCTTGGCAAGCCAAGCTGACGTGACATGGGGGCGTGGCAGCATCGACGATTCTATCTTTTGATTCGATAATCGAAATTGAACATAAATTTCGATCGATTTCGATTAAAAATCAAAATCGTGACACCCCTAATAAATGCATTAATATACAAATGAAATGGCAAAGATAAAGCTTGTCTCTGTGTTAGTTGCAAAGACACAATTATGATAACAATATAATATAAAAACACATTTAAAAACATTCTGATTAGATCAAGAAAAAGATTTTTACTTACCCTCTACTACCTGTATACTGGCTGAAAATACACAGTTCTGAGCACTGTAAACTCTACATCTGTATTCTCCTTTATCTTCATCTCTGAGTTTGCCCAGACAGAGGGAGAAATTTCCATCTTGAATCTCCTCAGTAAAGAAATGAGCTCTACCATGATAATCCTGCTGCTGGGCTTCTGGTTGACTCTTACCGCCTTGATAGAGATGAACCAGAGTCCCTGAGTCTGCTCTTCTCCATTCCACCTTCAGACTTCCCTTTGATAAGTCTTTGTCAGCATGACATGGCAAAACTATTGAATCTTTCAGAGGATCATAATGTTTACAAGTATACCACACAAGGAAACCTGAAAAAGAAAGAGATATTACATTTGTTATGTAAAAAAAAAACATTTAATTGATAATAATATGTGGAACAATGTTTAAAGAATTGGCATTTTCATGTTGCAAATAAATTGGTTATGGATGTGTCTCAATTCATGCATTATAAGTGACGACAATTTGAGAATGCCTCTGTGTGACTGTGTCAAGAAGCACATCTGAAATCAGCGCACTGGTGTGGCAGGACCGGATGACCCTTTGGGAATAAGAATGCTGACTTTACCGTGCTCACAAGTACCTATCTAGTGTGAAGTTATGGTCACAGATTAGACATCAGAATTAAAGGCCATATTAGTAGCCATGCTCCTTGTAGAGGGAATACTGACATGAAGGCAATCAAGGAAGGCTTTGTAAGGAAAACCTTAACCGTTCAATTGCTCCACTTATTTAGATCCTTTTGGTGTGCCTAAAAAGACAAACAATTGACCAGTGTTACTTCACAGGGAAGCACTATGGATGTACTTTTCCTGAAACGACTTTCAGAAAGAAGTATGAAGGGCTGTAAAACAGAAGGTTGGGCCACATTAGTGGAGATCTTGGTGATTTACACTCTTGTTGGAAAAGAAAACCCTTCTCCATTTGAGGTGCAAGGACCAGATCAAAGGGAGTTATCGCAATTCTTAAAGGTTGTCTCTTAAGAATTTTTTTTCCAGTAGAAAGACAGCAGTTCCAGCCTCAGAGTGTTTCAAGAATCATTTAATAAGTGGTTTTCATCCAATCCTACTGGGACTGGATGCATGAATGAGAACCAGATGGACAAAGGGTCGTCTCTCGAGATGCAAACTGATCTACTTCTGCCTGGTTGAAAATTTATAAAAGGAGCTGTATCACCTTCAATCTCCATTCCCTGGGACTTAGCTCCTGCCTTGACAGGTTCTCCACTCCCTGGTTAAGATGCACAGGAATCTAATTTGCACGGACAAAGAACAGCTTTCCTTGGCCCCACAGAAGAATTTACATTGCCAGTATGGAGAGGCTGGCTCCTGGCTGATATGCAGCCAATATCTCCCTGAATCTCCAATGGGTTGCTCTTCATGGTAAATCACTTGGTTTCGAGCTTGAGCTAACCCTGAGATCCTGAAGATAATGTTTAAATGCTAGAAGCACTTATTGGACAGAAAAATGGTGGTGAAATTATGGAAGTTTGGAAGTCCGTGTGGGTCCTAGTGCACCAGAATTGCGGATGTACATTATAAAGATAGTTCAAAATGGGTGAACCATTTCCTTTAAAGAAATCCATGCATAATCATCCATTTATAACATGACTGACATGGCTAGCATGTTGTAAAAATTGAACCAAGGCAAAAACTTATTACAAACAAATAGACTAAACACTGACAGTTGCACATGCAATTGACCTTTATCAGGTGATCTGCTGTAGATCCAGACACAGGGCAGAAGCGCAGATCCACATGCAGAAATACAGAGTATCAACACCATTGTATGCAAAGCAGAGAAACCTGAGAGTCAGAAAGAGTTATGAAACAGTAAGATGCAGTATGTAATTCCTTATATTATTATTATTAGTGTTAGGAATGCATGAGTTTAATAATGCATGCAATGTGAGCAGGGTATTTGCTCATGGATCTATATTGCTTGTAGAAAGCTATAGTAGCTAACCATATTAGCTAATTTATAAACAAATAAGACCTTATAGTAATGCGTTACACTAGTCTGTCTGATATACATCAATACTCGTTTGGTATTTTACATTTCTATTACTGCCATTTTCCCTTTTAATCCAAATCAAATGGTCAAGAAAAAATGAACTTTTAAAATGCTGACACATTGATTTAATTTATTATTGACAGGATATTCTGAATACTTTGTGCAATCAGACATTTTTTATTCCAATTACTTCATCTAAAACTCTTCGCAATAACATCATTACCCGTGTATCAGACTGAATTATTATGTGCAGTTTTTATCATAACTCACTCAGTCTTCCCAGCACTACAGTAGCATTGGCTGATAAATCTCCAGCAAACACTTGACACATGTAAACTCCTTTATCCTCAGTTCTGACACTCTTCAGTCTGAGAGAGAAGTTTCCTTTGGGGATTTCAGCAGTGAAGAACTCAACTCTGCCTCTGAATTGTTCATCTCCCACCTCTGGCACAGCCTTATTGTTTTGGTAAAGCAGGATCAGAATATCTCCATCTTTATCTGTTTTCTTCCATGATACCTCTTCAATGTGTTCAGGTGTGATGTGAGAGTCTACAGAGCAGTTCAGAGTCACGTCCTCACCAACATGTATAGAAACAGATCGATTTGTTCCTGATACCAGCAAATGCTCTATGAAAACAAAAAAAGAAGGGTCTTGCTGCAGATCAACTACGCATGCTCTCATGCTGCATTCACACCAGACGCGGAAGAAGCAGGTGCACAGAGCTGGGCGCACCTCTGAAAGGATCTAGTGGACTCCAAACAAAATCAACACTGTTTTTCAGCTTTCATAAAAGCACATAAACACAGCTATTCTCTCAATAAAATCCCTGTTAGCCATTTAGCAATGAAGCTAGAGTCACTGGGAGGACAGAATCCCTGCCCATCACGCGAATCTGCATATGTTGTGAAGTGAATTTTATGCAAGAATGAAGCGAGTAGACTTAAAATGTTCACGTGTCAATTTATGCATGAATAGCTCAATTTATCTGCGCTTGACACATTTGGTGTGAACACAGCATCAGACCCGATTGGCTTTTAAAGGCTACAACTCTAACCCTACCCCTACCACCGCTCATATTGATGTGTCTTGCTCTATTGAGTGCATGGTGCCTGAGAGTGCATGTGCAGGTCTGCAGCCAGACACTATTGACATAACACCCTCTTTTAATGCTATCAGTCGATTGAATAGGCATTATCAGTGGTTATCAGCTCATAGATATGGGCCGGTAAGGGCAGACGGTAATAAAATACAATAAATGGGAAATGTAATAAATAATATAAATAATCAACATAGGCTCATTCTGCATGACGGTTTGCACACTTACCTCCACAAGAATGAATTTTCTGCTGCTACCAGTTTCTTCAGTGGCTCACCGTGTACATCAGCAGAATTGTGACGTGGTGCAGAGTGGACGATGACAGGGTTTGAGTCTGGCGTAGAACAGTTTCGGAAAGCAGGCAAGGCAAAAGCTAATTAAAGAAATAACTTGCTTTTGATTGCTCTTATTTATTTTTTTTTAAACTGACGGTTGGGTTTAGGGAAGGAGCAGGACGTGTCAATTAATGCTTTTGAACAAAAACTGAGGGTTGGGTTTAGGGAAGGAGGAGGACGGGCCAATTGGTGCTTCTGAAAAAAAAAACTGACGGTTGGGTCTAAGGAAAGAGGTCAATCAGAGTGGCCTCTAGTGGATTTCTGTGAGAAAATTATAAATTTGATACCTCATATAGCTGATTAACCATGTTGAATAACTCACAGCTCCATATCTATTAGCTGATAACAGCCATTTAATCGAGTGAAAACATTCGTATTCGCTGTATATAAAGGGTTAAAATATCAAAACAAAAATATGTGAATTCCATTTTTTTTACTTTTAGTTACTCTCACTCACCAACATCTTTTATCTTGATCACAGCTTCTCCAAAATTCTGCTGACTGTGAACTCTACACCTGTATTCTCCTTCATCTTGAGCTGTCAGATTGTCCAGACGGAGGGAGAAGTTTCCATGTTGAATCTCCTCAGTAAAGAAATGAGCTCTATCATGATAATCCTGCTGCTAGACCTCTGCTCGACTCTCACCATCTTGATACAGATGAATCAGAGTCTCTGAGTCTGCTCTTCTCCATTCCACCTCCAGATCCTCCACTGGTAAAGCTTCATCAACAAAACAGGGCAAAACCACTGAAGATCCCAGAGGAGCAGACAGAGGAGCAGAGGGACCACGAACAACTAACCCTGTAATTAAAAAGACAGTAAAACAAAAACGAAACTTTACTAAAAAATGGTCTTTCAGGATGATCATCATGATGGGTGAACGTTTTCTTGCTACACCTGTGGCCTGTTTCACAAACTAGTTGAAGAGTTTCAGAGTAGGTTTAGAGCTGACAACAACAAATAAATATATAAATAAAAAAACATCGATTTCACAACTCCAAACATTATCAGCCAAGGTTTTAAATCACTTAAAATTAAAAAAAGGGCCATTTTTAAATGAATAAATATAACAAAGTACATAAATGCATTGGATTAATAATAAATTAAATGTGAAGTGTAATATTGGCAGTGCATTTAAGAAATATGAACATTATATATACCCAACATTATACCTCTGGCAAATTCTCAATTAAAGTTTTTGATTAAAGGCAAATAAAAGCTGAGAAATATATATTTTTCTCACAATGGTGCCTCTTGTGCATTGCCTTATTATCTTTTAAGAGAAGCTGATGTCATTTCCAGTCAAAAAGGCTTGCTTGTTAAAAACAAGTAACTTTAAGTCAGAATTTGCCAGGGATATGAATCATTTCAGCCACGACAATTTTGTCTTTAAAAAGACTCTTGCACTGTGAACAAGTAATTTCTCAAACTGCAATGTCAGAAGACATACCCCATGTCAAGCTCAAGGATGGCATGGACAAAAAACAAAAGTCATACTAAAGTAAGTCTTAATTTTCACCATGAATAAACCACAGACAATAACATGAGAGAGAAAAAATAATATTCACTGCAACAAGCAAAAAGACAATAATAGACTTTTATTTTACTTTATATTTAGGAGCAGGTGGTGCCACAAATATTATTATAATAAGATCTATTCGCTTTAGTAAAAAAAAAAATAAAAAAAATTTAAAAAAAAACACTAATAAATAAATACAAAAAGAGCGTAATTTAATTAACTATTTGTTTATTCTCTGACTAATTATGTATAAAATCATTTAGGTGTCATCCGCGATCATCGAAATTACTGACATCAAATGATTCTGTTGTCTGATCTTCAGATAAGCGAACTTAAACAAATCGAGCATGTCTACATGATGTGGCAAAAAATAAACAAATGACTGCAGCACAATGAACACTTACTTTTAGGGGCGGACTGGCCATCTGGCAAGAAGGGCTGGACCAATTTTTAAATGTGGGCCGGTCAGTTTTTTTATTTTTTTTAATATGTATTGTTTTTAAGTGCAAACAGCTTTTATCTCTTGCTAGATGTGATATTATGATGATGATAATAAAATAATAATATTAAATGTTAAGCATTTGGCCCAATCGGCAACTGCCGCCTGGTTTCAAGATGGGCCGACCCAATCCAAGGTTCCCCGGACATTATCAAAATCTGGCAAGAAAGTCATATTATTTCACCATCTTTACACCAAAATAAATAGTGAATGTGCGTTTCCGTGGGTGGGGCTGTGTCGGTGTGGTAATGTGGGCTGGTGTGGCAACAGTGCCAGGGCTGAATTTTTGTCCCAGTCCGCCCCTGCCTACTTTTACTTTTATTGAACACATCAGTGCGATGACTTAGCACTGTATGATCATCACACAGTTATAGAATCAGACAAGAATCCCAGCATTATACGTTACAATCAATCATTACTGTGGTAATAGTAATAAAGTAGAAAGCAATATAGGACAGTGTAACAAACCAGCAAGTACACATTAAAGAATCTTTCATCAATAATTTAATATGCACATGTTAATTTTTTCCACTGTTTTTCATATTGCTTACAACTTCATTATTATGTACCTTTATTATTATTATTTATTTATTTTAAATCTGTGTCATTGACAAACTTTTAATAGTATTATCTCAATTTAGCCTAAACCATTTATCGGGTAAACTTAGTTCTAATTTTAGTTAAAATCTATTAACTTTTGGGGGAAAACTGTATACATTCACTTTTGAAAATGTTGTTTAATTATTATTAGTTGTAATTTTATTTATTTATAAAAGCTTATTTAAATTCACATCTTTTAAATAAATTTTCTTACTAATGAGCTAAATGATGACAGCTCTCTTTCCTCCCATCTTTAACACTTGAATAAGTATGCATGAAATCATTTACGTACCATCAGCGATCATCAGAATTACTGTCATTAAAACAATCTTCGGTTGATGCATCTTCAGATAAGCGAAATTAAACCAAAACGAGCATGTCTACATGACTGGAGATATCACTGCTGACAGACAGAGCTGCTCGTGCGATGCGACAAAATGAAAACTTGCTTTCACTTTCACTTCAGCCGCTTTCACGGTCTCTATGGTTACTGTTTTTTTCAATGTCTGCTTGTACTATCTTTTTGTTGCAATTTTTGTAAAGTGTCCTTCAGCTCTGGAAAGGCGTTATTTAAATTAAAAAAAAAAAACTATTACTGTTATTATTATTATTTTTTGTAAAGGCATCGATAGTCATTCATTGTTACAGTGTGCTCATTTAGATAAAACATGACATAAACATTTAACATTCAACGCTTTTGAACAAGTCAAATCTGAATTTCTCTATATAAAAACATGCATGAAAACAGAACAAGCATGATGGAGATGTCTTTAATATTTTTGTCACGATGTGGATAATTTAATTATATATAATATTTATAATAATCATAATAATATCATTTGTATTATTAAAGCTTCAAAACTTCTTCAACAGTTTTGGCAGCAAGTCTTTATTCCTCTCTTGTTAATTAAACTATGCAGTGCAGCATTTTATTTCTGAAACTGCACAGTCATGTTTAGGATGACGATGCAAAAAAGCTCATACTGTAAAGGATGGTTTTACTTTTGCGATGAGATAAGTATGCCATGTTCATAATTAAATAAGTAGAAATCACACACACACACACTGCATTAATTAGGTTTAAAACAAATTGCTCCCCACCACAATATATAACATGACAACATATTAATTACTGCATCGAAAAGCCAATTGTATACTTTTTGTGTTTTATTTATTTATGCGTTTATTGTTCTTTTTTTCTTTATTTATTAATTAATCAGGCAAAATATAGGGAGGGCGATAACACAATTATAACGCCAATAATAAAACAGATCAACTTTTGGGGAGAAAACAACTATTCTATTTATTTTATTATTTTTATTGTTTATTTTATTTATTTTTGAAAGCTTATTAAAATTCGCATCTCTTAAATATGTTTTCTTACTAATGAGCTAAATGATGACAGCTCTCTTTCCTCCCAACTTTAACACTTGAATAAGTATGCATGAAATCATTTACGTACCATCAGCGATCATCAGCATTACTGTCATTAAAACAATCTTCGGTTGATGCATCAGATAAGCCAAGTTAAACAAAACGAGCATGTCTACATGACTGGAGATATCGCTGCTGACAGACAGAGCTGCTCGTGCGTTGCGGCAAAATGAAAACTTTCACTTTCAGTTTAGACGCAAGTATAATTTCAGATGAGACGCATATGCTGGACAATGAACACATCACCGCGATGGTGTAAGTACTGTATGAGCACACCGAAATATAATCAGACAATCACAGCATTAAAGTGTCATCATAAATAATGCAATGCAAATAAAGTATAATGAACCAATAAAATTAACTATTTATCACACATTTTAAAGATTGAACTTTAAATTGTCTCATTAAAATGCACTCTAGTCTATTATTTTCACGACTTATGTAGTCTACTTCTCTATCTCTCAATCTGTTAACTTTGCAGAAATGTTCTGATGGATAAAATCAAGCCCTGATCAACATTGTATTTCTCATACTCCACAACAGAAAGTACATTTGACTATAAGTCATTTCAGCTTGCCTCACATTATCATAATGTTACGTTTAACAATCATAAAATGACAGCATAAAGACAAATGATTTATATTTACCAATGTGTGGATCACTTGCTGTTTGTCAGTGCCTCATCAAAAGGAGTGACCGTTTTGTTGTAAAACAGCGTCCTCTGCTGGAAACTCCAATCAAAAATCAAACACTTGATATTTATGGTTGGAAGACCTGATGTAAATACTCAACCATGGCTTCTGTTCTGGGATGGACATAAGGTAGATTTTACCTTTAGGTAGGGTAGCACCAGGCAGCAGGTCAAAGGCACAATCACATACTCAACATGATGAAAACTGGGTTGTTGCGGTCTAACTGAAGACATCGCTGCATGCATTGAATGCCTTCTTCTTGGGAGTTTCTGGAGGAAATAAAGGCAGGGCTTATTTGAGTGTCCAGGTTCAGGTAGTTTCTAAAAACAGCTCAAGAAACAATTATTCACAATTAATCACCAGTATTTCAGTTTACTGAAGAAGAATGCTTAAAGAGTGTGTCCCAGGATTCAATCCAGCATGAAGGTCTCCAACACAAGAAAAACTAAATAAATTCTCTCGATTTAAAAAAAAAGAGGCTATTTTTACATGCTTTCAGACATAACACTGGTAGTGACAAGGCTGTCAAATCACAGAATAGTGATGCGTGGATGGCGGTTATATCTGCGGGCACTGTGGATAATCCACGGGTAAGGCGGGTTGGGTAAAAAAAAAATACATTATGATTAATTGCTGATGGGTCGCGGGTGGATAACAATAAATATTAGTGATTTTTGCTTTGTATTTTTTTAAAACATTCTGTAAAATACAATGGTTTTAATATATTGTTGCAACACAGACTTATTCTGAAAATGTAGTCCCATGGATGTTTCTGGAGACCGCAAATTATGTAGCCGAAGGTACACATGGCTGCATTTCATCTTTCTTAAGGGAACGCTACAGGCGGTATGACGCTGTTCCTTTTCACGCGTGTGCAGGGCTTTCCCGCTGCAACCAGTTTGTCCTCGTTTGTATGTTGGCAGACTTGAGATGCAGGGAGGAATTGACCACAATGATGACAGGGTTCGAGTCCAGGGAATAGCGGTTCCAGAAATCAGATAATCATTAAAATGAACAAGTGAATACCAGGGTGAAAATGTGGTAAAATCTGA